ACGTCACTCCACATGAGGCCCACCCCCCCTCATTAATATTAATGAGTGGGTGGATTTTTACACTAACGCAGAGGAAGGTCGAGCTGAATTAAATAATTTATTACGCAAAGTCGCTTCAAATTTGACGTTTATTTACAGAAAGTGACGGTGAAAAATAAATACGCAGCACAGTGCCACATCCGTACGTGACGTCACTGCAAAAGAGCACTCCACATGCCGCACCCCCCCTCCCCTCATTAATAATCATGAGCAGGTGACGTCACTCTACATACCGCACCCCTCCACAATAACCATTAACGGGTGACGTCACTCCACATGGGGCACCCCCCCCCCCCCATTAATTGAGCTGAACATTTTTTATCTTGAATATTTCAGATGTACTGCAATATACAACCGTCCTTGGACGGGCAGAAAAGCTCGTAAACGAATGAACAGTTTATTGCCGCACATCACACATTGGATGCAATGTTCAATAGACAACTCCGAGGCGCAGAGCCAGGGCTCAGTCATTCGTGAGCCAGCCTGGACCGGCGGGGGAGCCTCTGGGGGAGTGGCGGCGGTGGTGATCAGATGCTGCGCGTGATGCTGCGTGTGTGCAGTTGAAGACCGTCACACACGGAATCATACTCGTCACATACAGATCTGGAGACCCTCGGAATTCGCGGGTTTCGACCTATCGCAGGCAACCTCTTTGTACACCAATTTAACCATCGCGGGGGACCGTTTTGGCCTTTCGCGGGTATCCTGTACCCCGAAATCTCGTGCCATTGGCTGAAACGGTGCTACGGGGCCGGCGAGGGATGATATTGAGTCCGTGGCATCTCAACCTTTGCCATGCAAGCATCTCCCTAACAAAGGTCCCCCATACAGCCTTAACAGACTGTAGGGGGCAAGTGCTGTTAGCGAGCACCTATGAAGGCCGGTACGGCACACGAGGCGGTGGGTGGCCAGCACCACAGCCGGCCGCCTTTGTCTCTCCAGTAGCGATGTTTACACACCGCACCAAGTACTCATTTGAGGCTGAGTCGATCTGGGGCGGGGGGGGGGCATGACCGATTCAGATAGTCGTCACTGGTGTTGGCCGTGAGCGGGAATCAAACTCGGGTCGATTCCTGGATTCGTATCGCAGCGCGCTAACCGGTATACTACCGCTCCTCACACTATTGCACGCACACACGCACATTCACACACGCACATTCACACATGCACATTCACACACGCACATTCACACACGCACATTCACACACGCACACACTCACGCGCAGACACACACAGGCTTAAGGACACATGAGAAGACTCGTTGTGTAATCTCACTGTGCACACATCGAGTCACCAGGTGCAGTTGCCATCATATAAAATGTGTGAGTGTCATCATCACAGCAGCATCAGCAGAATCATCAGAAACAGCAGAATCATAAAAAAAACCACGCCAATCGCGAAGAGCAATTAACTCGCCAAGCGAATGCTGCTGATTAGTATATTGTAGGCAGCGTCACTAGCAGCAGCAGAAGCAACAGCGGTAGCACGGGCTGGAAAACTCTGAGCCCACACACGGCAAGGAGAGTTCGGCATCGTCAGCAGCAACATCATCATCATCAGTGGAAGCATCAATCCGCATCACCAGCACTCGCACGCAGGGAGCGCAGGCTGTTTGTCCTCTGTGTGACATTGCCACTGCCTGCATGCGCGTGCGTGTGGGGAGCGGTGGCACAATGGTTAGCGTACTGCGCTATGAACCTGACTACCCGAATTCGGGGAGACGAATATCTGAACCAGTTCTGGGGCCTGCCCTAGGTCGACTCAGCCTTAAATGAGCATGACCTGGTGCGGTGTGTAAAAGATCTGCAGAGGGGAGACAAAGGCGGCCGGGCGTGATGCTGGCCGGCCACCCACCCCCCTCGTGTGCTGTGCCGGCCTTCATAGGTGCTGCTCGCTTACAGCACTTGGCCTGACAACCTGTGCAGGCTGGACGGGGGACTTTTGTGTGCGTGGGTCCTCTGTCTGACATTGCCTGCGCTGTGCGCGCATTGATCTCACCCCGGCGTCTGCTGTGACTCGGTTGTGATCACATGACCTAACCGCAGTGGAATGTTCCAACCGCCTTGGCGAGGGAAGGGGTGTGGGAGGAGGTGTTGGTGGAGGAGAGGGAGGCGGAGGAAAGGGATATGGAGGAGGAAGAGGTGAAGAGGAGGGGGGTGAGGTGGGGAGGAGGTGGAGGAAGAGGGGAGAAGGGGGAGGCGGGGTAGAGAGTGGAGAGGGAGGAGGAGGAGGGTGATTGACAGGAGATGAAGGCTTGGCTTCTCGTGTGAACGTCATTCATGGATCTGGGAGGGATCTCAAGGAGGGTGCTGCTCCATCTGGACAATCCTCTTGTCGTGAATCTTCGTCGGAAAAAAGACAAATTACATTGTGATTGACTAACATCAATCCATAGACTCGCGTAGAGGCCCACTGACTCGCTCGCACAGAGGCCCACTGACTCGCTCGCACAGAGGCCCACTGACTCGCTCGCACAGAGGCCCACCAACTCGCACAGAAGCCCACCGACTCGCACAGTGGCCTGCCGACTCACACAGAGACCGGTGCACATGTACAATGTGCTCTGTGTGGATGAGTGTTTACCCTGGTTTCCAACCACATGGCTCCCAATTAGGGTCCCCCAATTAAGGTGCATGACCTATCAAGAGAGTTGATGAGGAGGAAGGAGACAAGGTCCCTGTGGGAGGGAGGGAGGGATGGAGGGAGTGGAGGAAGGGTCTATTTCTGTGTTGAGGAGACCACGCACCCTGAATGTCAAGGGCAACCGAGACGCGGATTACACGGCTTGGAGATAGAACTCACACGGGGGGGGGGGGGGGGATAGCATTAGGGGATAGGGTAAGAGATGTATGTATGTTGAGCTAACTGCTAATCGGAGGTGTGGGGGAAGAACAACAAACTTAACATAATAAGCAGTTAGAAATGGATAGGGGATAGGGTTATGGAATAGGATTGATATGGAGGACTTTGTTAAGAGTTTATTCATGGGATAGGGATTAGGGTTGACATTTAGGATAACATTAAGATATACGGTTGGAATTTGTGTTAGGACTACATTGAGTGTTAGGGTTAGGGCTACATTGAGGGATAGGTCTCGTTTTGCCATCAGCTGTTGGTGGTGTCCCCTTGAATCCCCCCCAGTGTGCGTGCCGCCTCCTCTATGCAAACAGCACACAACGCGGCGTGCGGCACGCGTCGTGCGGCACACAGCACGCGAGCGAGCGAGAGGGAGCCTCTATTTTGTCTCTGCACACCGTGCCGATATAAAACCCACAGCAGCTGTGCCCTCTCTTCCGCACCGCTAATAATACCGCTCACAGCCATCATCCACATGGACATCAGCAGCAGCATTAACTGCTGGCCGAGTGATCTCTGAGCCTCCACGTATCGATCCCTGCTGAATTCCGCCGATGCTCGGCTACGTAGCGGATCGCGAGCGACACAAAACTTGCAGTGGCTAGTCGAGTGATCTGGCTCTAAAACAACAACATAGAAGTAACGTTGTCTCCCCGAGGTGGCTTGGTGGCTCGCTCACAGGGGCTCATCATCATAATCATCATCACCACCACCACGATAATCTAGTACATTGGGTGTGTGTGACACTAATTAGCAACGCACATGCTCTTTGGACGTGACCGTCTGTCCGTACGAACCAGCTAGAATTTTTTAAAATATAATATAGTATAGTGCGGTGTCAACTTGTAATGCTGCGCCGCCACTTGCGCTCAGTGTTTGCTCGCGCTCACAGAGAGAATGGCTCAGAGGTGCGAGGAGGAACCACAGACGACCCACGCTGTGACTCGGCGCTACCAACAATTGCCCAAGCTCTGCAGTCCTTTATATCTGTGAAGGTGTTCTCGGCCAATTAACAATGAGTCTTTACACGTGTGGGAGGAGAGAAACCATGAGAGAACCCTCGCGCGCGAGGAGGCAACGCATATAGGTGGGACAGGTGGAGTCCACATTTACAGGACCGCTTTTTGGCAAGCCAGGGTATGGGCACCTTCTCGTCGCCCACGGGAAGGGAAGTTTCACACCATCTGTGTTTGTGATCCACCAACCCTATCTGCTGCCTCCACAGTGCTGCTGGATCATTACAGGCGTTGCTCTACCACTACTCCGAACTTAAAGAGTTCGGTATTTGGGGAGAGGGTGGAAATATTCATGGTAGCATGGGGGATCCTGCCTACTCACGGGCAGCAGCAGGGAGATAAACAGGAAGAGCGTGGGAGCAGAGATACGTGGTGACACTTCCTCAGCATGTGTCACGAATCGGCCGGGTGTGTGCGTGTGTGCGTGTGTGGATGTGTGGGTGTGTGCGTGTGTGGGTGTGTGGGTGTGTGGGTGTGTGGGTGTTTGGGTGTGTGCGTGTGTGCGTGTGTGGGTGTGTGGGTGTGTGGGTGTGTGCGTGTGTGCGTGTGTGCGTGTGTGCGTGTGTGGGTGTGTGCGTGTGTGCGTGTGTGCGTGTGCGTGTGTGGGTGTGTGTGGGTGTGTGCGTGTGTGCGTGTGTGCGTGTGTGGGTGTGTGCGTGTGGGTGTGTGTGTGGGTGTGTGTGGGTGTGTGCGTGTGTGGGAGCCGTAGAGTAGCGGTTAGCGCACTGCGCAATGAACCCAGCAGTTCGAGTCCCGCTCACGGCCAACACCAGTAACGATTATCTGAACCGCTCCTGGGCCTTCCCTAGGTCGACTCGGCCTCAAACGAGTGCCTGGTGTGTAAACATCGCTACTGGGGAGACAAAGACGGTCGGGCGTGGTGTTGGCCACCCACCTCCTCGTGTGCTGTGCCGGCCTTCATAAACAGCACTTTCCCCGACAGTCTGTTCAGGGCTATACGGGTATCCTTTGTCTTTGTGTGAATAAACATGGCTCATGTGAAATGACTGCTCCTCCTTCCCATGTCTCCCTGTGTCCCATCCTCCCGTGTCCGTCTCCCGTTGTCCGTGTCCTCGTGTCCGCGTGCAGGTGGACAAGTGTCTGTATGAGATGAAGCTGAGTGACGAGCGGCTGCGCGCCATCATGGAGCAGATGAAGCTGGAGATGGAGCGCGGCCTCGACAAGGAGGCGCGGTCACGTGCGCCCGTCAAGATGCTGCCCACGTTCGTGCGCTCCACGCCCGACGGATCCGGTCTGTCTCCCATATCTCCCCGTCTCTCCCTCGTGTCCCGGTGTCTCCCCACACCTCCCTGTGTGCTCCTGTGTGTTTCCGCATATCCCTGTGTCTCCTTGAGGCTTCCCTGTATTTCTGCGTGTCTCCCCCATGTCTCCCTGTGTCTCCCCCATGCCCCCATGTCTCCCCCGTGTCTCCCCCCATGTCTCCCCCCGTGTCTCCCCCTGTGTCTCCCTCCATGTCTCCCCATGTTTCTCTACCCGTGTAACTTCCTCTGTAATTCTCGGTCGGAGCGGGCCCTGGCGTGAGCCTCACAGATCAACTGGGCCTCCTCACTTCAATTAAACATTTGACGGCTGTGTCTCTGTCTCTCCCTCCGTGCCCCCCCTCCATGTTCTCCGCGCCCCCCTACACCCCCGCATGTAGAGAAGGGAGACTTCCTGGCGCTGGACCTGGGCGGCTCAAGCTTCCGCATCCTGCGCGTGCGCGTCGAGACGCAGACGATCGACATGGAGGACGAGGTGTACGAGGTCCCCGACACCATCATCCGAGGCACTGGTCCCCAGGTAGGCAGTGGAGGGGGGTGCACAGGGACATTGGGGTACGGGGGGCATGGGACTAGGAGCTGCAGCCAAGGTGCTGGGACACAAGGCGGTTCAGTGCACCTGTGCATTGTCTTAAGGTCCTAAGACTCGGGGAGACTGGTCTCAGGTTACTTAGACTCGGGGAGACTGGGTTTCAGGTTACTGAGACTCGGGGAGACTGGGTCTCAGGGTACTGAGACTCGGGGAGACTGGGTCTAAGGTTACTGAGACTCGGGGAGACTGGGTCTCAGGTTACTAAGACTCGGGGAGACTGGGTCTCAGGTTACTGAGACTCGGGGAGACTGGGTCTCACGGTATTGAGACTCGGGGAGACTGGGTCTCACGGTATTGAGATTCGGGGAGACTGGGTCTCATGGTACTGAGACTCGGGGAGACTGAGTCTCAGGTTACTGAGACTCGGGGAGACTGGGTCTCAGGATCGTGAGACTCGAGGAGACTGGGTCTCAGGGTACTGAGACTTGGGGAAACTGGGTCTCAGGGTACTGAGACTCGGGGAGACTGGGTCTCAGGGTACTCTGACTCGGGGGAGACTGGGTCTCAGGATCCTGAGACTCGGGGAGCCTGGGTCTCAGGGTACTGAGACTCGGGGAGACTGGGTCTCAGGGTCCTGAGATTCGGGGAGCCTGGGTCTCAGGGTACTGAGACTCGGGGAGACTGGGTCTCAGGTTACTGAGACTCGGGGAGACTGGGTCTCAGGGTCCTGAGACTCGGGGATACTGGGTCTCAGGGTCCTGAGACTCGGGGAGACTGGGTCTCAGGTGACTGAGACTCGGGGAGACTGGGTCTCAGGTTACTGAGACTCGGGGAGACTGGGTCTCAGGTTACTGAGACTCGGGGAGACTGGGTCTCAGGGTCCTGAGACTCGGGGAGACTGGATCTCAGGTTACTGAGACTCGGGGAGACTGGTCTCAGGTTACTGAGACTGGGGTAGACTGGGTCTCAGGGTCCTGAGACTCGGGGAGACTGGGTCTCAGGGTCCTGACTCGGGGAGACTGGGTCTCAGGTTACTGAGACTTGGGGAGACTGGGTCTCAGGTTACTGAGACTCGGGGAGACTGGGTCTCAGGTTACTGAGACTCGGGGAGACTGGGTCTCAGGTTACTGAGACTTGGGGAGACTGGGTCTCAGGTTACTGAGACTCGGGTAGACTGGGTCTCAGGGTACTGAGACTCGGGGAGACTGGGTCTCAGGGTCCTGAGACTCGGGGAGACTGGGTCTCAGATTACTGAGACTCGGGGAGACTGGTTCTCAGGTTACTGAGGCTCGGGTAGACTGGGTCTCAGGTTACTGAGACTCGGGGAGACTGGGTCTCAGGGTACTGAGACTCGGGGAGACTGGGTCTCAGGGTACTGAGGCTCGGGGAGACTGGGTCTCAGGGTACTGAGACTCGGGGAGACTAGGTCTCAGGGTACTGAGACTCGGGGAGACTAGGTCTCAGGGTCCTGTGACTCGGGGAGACTGGTCTCAGGTTACTGAGACTCAGGGGAGACTGGGTCTCAGATTACTGAGACTCGGGGAGACTCGGTCTCAGGGTACTGAGACTCGGGGAGACTAGGTCTCAGGGTCCTGAGACTCGGGGAGACTGGTCTCGGGTTACTGAGACTCAGGGGAGACTGGGTCTCAGGGTCCTGAGACTCGGGGAGACTGGGTCTCTGGATCCTGAGATGAGATCTCTCCCAATCTGTGGCCAGCACGGGGCCCGCCGTGGCGTGGCCAACACCAGCCCTTCATGTGCTCTGTTGGCCCCAACAGCACTTGCTTGGGGGTGTGTCGCTGTGGGTGTGTCTGTGTCCATTTTGATCTGGGTCTCACGGTATTGAGATTCGGGGAGACTGGGTCTCATGGTACTGAGACTCGGGGAGACTGAGTCTCAGGTTACTGAGACTCGGGGAGACTGGGTCTCAGGATCGTGAGACTCGAGGAGACTGGGTCTCAGGGTACTGAGACTTGGGGAAACTGGGTCTCAGGGTACTGAGACTCGGGGAGACTGGGTCTCAGGGTACTCTGACTCGGGGGAGACTGGGTCTCAGGATCCTGAGACTCGGGGAGCCTGGGTCTCAGGGTACTGAGACTCGGGGAGACTGGGTCTCAGGGTCCTGAGATTCGGGGAGCCTGGGTCTCAGGGTACTGAGACTCGGGGAGACTGGGTCTCAGGTTACTGAGACTCGGGGAGACTGGGTCTCAGGGTCCTGAGACTCGGGGAGACTGGATCTCAGGTTACTGAGACTCGGGGAGACTGGTCTCAGGTTACTGAGACTGGGGTAGACTGGGTCTCAGGGTCCTGAGACTCGGGGAGACTGGGTCTCAGGGTCCTGACTCGGGGAGACTGGGTCTCAGGTTACTGAGACTCGGGGAGACTGGGTCTCAGGTTACTGAGACTCGGGGAGACTGGGTCTCAGGTTACTGAGACTCGGGGAGACTGGGTCTCAGGTTACTGAGACTTGGGGAGACTGGGTCTCAGGTTACTGAGACTCGGGTAGACTGGGTCTCAGGGTACTGAGACTCGGGGAGACTGGGTCTCAGGGTCCTGAGACTCGGGGAGACTGGGTCTCAGATTACTGAGACTCGGGGAGACTGGTTCTCAGGTTACTGAGGCTCGGGTAGACTGGGTCTCAGGTTACTGAGACTCGGGGAGACTGGGTCTCAGGGTACTGAGGCTCGGGGAGACTGGGTCTCAGGGTACTGAGGCTCGGGGAGACTGGGTCTCAGGGTACTGAGACTCGGGGAGACTAGGTCTCAGGGTACTGAGACTCGGGGAGACTAGGTCTCAGGGTCCTGTGACTCGGGGAGACTGGTCTCAGGTTACTGAGACTCAGGGGAGACTGGGTCTCAGGGTACTGAGACTCGGGGAGACTGGGTCTCAGATTACTGAGACTCGGGGAGACTCGGTCTCAGGGTCCTGAGACTCGGGGAGACTGGTCTCGGGTTACTGAGACTCAGGGGAGACTGGGTCTCAGGGTCCTGAGACTCGGGGAGACTGGGTCTCTGGATCCTGAGATGAGATCTCTCCCAATCTGTGGCCAGCACGGGGCCCGCCGTGGCGTGGCCAACACCAGCCCTTCATGTGCTCTGTTGGCCCCAACAGCACTTGCTTGGGGGTGTGTCGCTGTGGGTGTGTCTGTGTCCATTTTGATCTCTGTGTTGATCTGTAATCTGCCATCTGGCAGATGTGGACTGGCACGAGTGAGCGGTGTCTGTGTCAGTGAGTGTGTCTAAGTTTGTGTGCGTGTGCCTCCGTATGTGTGGGCCTTTGCCCGTGACCGTGACTCATGTCTCTCTCCAGGAAGGCACTCTCACTCCTCGCACCTCACACGCACGGGACACTTATAGCAGCTATCAGTGTCAGTGTGTGCATGTGATGGGCACACTGTTTGTGCATTGCTAGAGTGTCTGTGTGTGTGTGTATTTAGAGATTGCGTTTCCAGTAGGTTCTTCGCGTATATTTTGCGTTCAAGTCAAAATAGCTCCAGGGTAGCACGTGTGTTTACCTGTGCGTGGTGTGTGTGGGTGGGTGGGTGTCCCTTCTGTGGGGAGCCGCAGTGTAATCGTTAGCGCGTTGCGCTACGAACCCGGCGACCCGGCAGTTCGATTCTTGATCACGGCCAACACTGGTGACGATTATCCGAACCGATCCTGGGGCTCCCCTAGGTCGACTCAGCCTCAAATGAGTACCCGGTGCGGTGTGCAAACATCACCATTGGGAAGACAAATGGCGTGCTACCAGCCACACCTCCCTCCTTGTGTGTTCTGACCTTAACCGGTGCTCAGCATTTGCAAAGTTATTTCCTTGATAGTCTCTTTAGTTAAAAATAGCATCAAATGGCAGTGTCTACGTGCACGCGTGTCCCCTGTGCGTACGCCTCCACATGAGTGCGCTGGGCTGTGTGCGTCTGTTCGTGCCCCCTCGTGTCGGAGCAGCAGCTGTCCGCAAAGCGTCCGTGTCATTGTTTGGGTCTTAGTGTTGAGTGCGCGCGTGGGGAGTGGTGGCGCAGCCGTTTGCGCTCTGCGCTACGAACCCCGGTGAACTGAGTTAAATTCCCGCTCACGGCCACTAGCATCGGTGACGATTGCTTGAACCGGACCTGGCCCTCTCCTAGGTCGACTCAGCCTCAAATAACTCCCTGGTGCAGTGTGTAAAAATCGCTACTGGGGAGACAAAGGCGGCCGGGAGTGGCGCTGGCTACCCACTTCATCGTTGTTCGTTCCGGCCTTAATAGGTGCTCGCTAACACCCCTTGCCGCAACAGTCTGTTAAGGCTACACGGGGATCTCTGTCTATGTGTGTTTGCGGGGCTTACGCGTGTATGTGTGTGGAGGGGGGGGTTTGTTTGTGTGTCGTTACAACCGAGTGTATGTGTGTAAGCGTATTTTTCTCTTTCTACGTGATAAAACGTCCTCGTGTCTCCGTGTGTCCCCTGTCTCTCTCGTGCCTTTGCCGTGTCCCCCCTGTCTCTCCCTTGTCTCCCCGTGTGCCCCCTCCATGCCTCTGCCTCCCCGTGTCCCCCCGATGACCCTGTCAGCTGTTTGACCACGTGGCAGCGTGTCTGAGCTCATTCATGGAAAAACTGAAGATTAAGGACAAGAAGCTCCCTCTGGGCTTCACCTTCTCCTTCCCCTGCCGCCACAACGTCAACGGCGAGGTGCCACCGCGCCACCACTACTACCACTACCATCACCATCATCACTCCTACCACCACCATCCCTACCAACACCACTACCATTGCTATCACCACCATCACCAACATCACCAACATCATTATCATCATCATCACCACTACCATCGTAAGCATCATCACCACTCCTTCCACCGTCACCACCTTCTACCACCATCATCGCCACCATTTTGTCCACCATCAACACCATCACCACAAACCCCACCATCACCACAACTGTCCCTGCCACATTTCTACCACTTTTTGCATTGACTGTCTACCGAACCCTAACCATGTGTGTTCCTGTGTCTCCCCACGTGAATCTGTGTCTTCCAATGTCCCGCTGCATTGTCTGTGTCTTCCCGAATGTCTCTATCCCAATGTGCCCCCCACGTCTCTGTCCCCGCGTCTCTATCCCCGTGTCTCTTTCCCCGTGTGCCACCCACGTCTCCGTCCCTGCGTCTCCGTCCCCGTCTCTGTGTGCCCTCACGAATGTGCTCAGAGCGTGCTCCTGCGCTGGACAAAGCGTTTCCACGTGAGCGGAGTGGAGGGGCAGAACGTGGTAAAGATGCTGCGCGATGCCATCCAGCGCCGCGGGGTACAGCAGCACAACAGCCACCGTTTACCACGAAATGGCGGTGACATCACCACGGCACTTGTGCCAAGCTAGGTGCACTCAGAGGCCACGTGAAGTGTCAAAGGCTCGCTGACTTACAGAGATGACTGGCGGATGCTTCACCTGTGCGCCCCACTGTGCCACATCCGCTTCGTGTTAGCCGCCCGGCACTCCGCTCTTTGTTGTGAGCGTCGCTCCTCTGCCCTCTGCTGTTGCTGTTGGGTTACTGCCTCCAACTGTTCAGTAGCATCCTTCACAAGCCTCCTCCACAGAGGCCAATCTTGATGCCACTGGTACCATTCTTCAGCAAGTCCAATCAGCTCCACATCCTCCTGTGTGTGTACAATGTATACTGTGTATGTGTACCGTGTGTGTGTACCATGTGTGTGTACCGTGTGTGTACCTTGTGTGTGTACCATGTATACCATGTGTGTGTATCGTGTGTGTACCGTGTGTGTGTACCATGTGTACCGTGTGTGTGTACCGTGTGTGTACCGTGTGTGTGTATCCTGTATGTGTACTGTGTGTACCGTGTGTGTACTGTGTGTGTGTACCGTGTGTACCGTGTGTGTGTACCGTGTGTGTACCGTGTGTGTGTATCCTGTATGTGTACTGTGTGTACCGTGTGTGTGTACCATGTGTGTGTGTACCGTGTGTGTGTACCGTGTGTGTGTACCGTGTGTGTGTATCCTGTATGTGTACTATGTGTACCGTGTGTGCACCTTGTGTGTACCGTTTGTGTGTAATGTGTGTGTACCGTATGTGTACCATGTGTGTGTAATGTGTGTGTACCGTATGTGTACCATGTGTGTGTACCGTATATGTACCATGTGTGTGTACCATGTGTGTGTACCATGTATCCCGTGTGTGTGTACCCTGTGTGTGTACTATGTGCACCGTGTGTGTGTACCCTGTGTGTGTACTATGTGCACCGTGTGTGTGTACCCTGTGTATGTACCCTATGTGTGTACTATGTGCACCATGTGTGTGTACCGTACATGTACCATGTGTACCATGTGTACCGTGTGCGTAGCGTGTGTGTGTGTACTCTGTGTACCATATGTGTACCATGTGTGTGTACTGTGTACCGTGTGTGTCTACTGTATGTGTACCGTGTGTGTGTATCCTGCTTGTGTGCTATGTGTGCCATGCATGTGTACCCTGCGTGTATACCATGTGTACTGTATGTGTACTATGTGTTTACCGTATGTGTACCATGCTTACTGTGTGCGTGTACCGTGTGTGCTGTGCTCGCGCCGCAGGATTTTGAGATTGACATTGTGGCAGTGGTGAACGACACGGTGGGCACCATGATGACGTGCGGCTACGACGACCACCGCTGTGAGATCGGCCTCATCGTGGGTGAGCGCTCCGCACGCTCCTACGCACTGCTCAGTTCAGTTTATTTTCACTTACCCTGTGAGCCAATAAGCTCTTAAATCGGGTTTCAGCAACAAAAAAGAACACCACTTTCCCTATATACGCATAAGTCACAGTAAAATACATCTAAAATATACACTAGCAGTTAAGCGAAAGAACAAATAGATAGCACGCTTTATCTCGAAGAAATACGAATTTAAATCTGCTTTATTAATTATAATGCAGATATGGCCTAAAACACGATGGCTTTATCGTGAGGAATAAAAAAAACACAGCGTCCAAAAAAAAGTTGTCTCAACAATTACAGGCCATTCATATTTTCAACTCATCCAACTCTTTATACACTGGTAGCTAGGCACGAATTCAGATGAAAGTAGCGATTTAAAGTGAGTGATCGATGGCATTGACTATAGACCAAGTTTTTTGGCAATATTTTTCCACAGACCAGGGGCAGCCACCATAAACGCACGTTCACCAAAAATGTTTTATGTCTGGGAACGTTCAACAGAAGGAGTGATGAACTCCTCAGGTGAGGTTTGCCCTCCCGTTGTGTCAAGAAATGAAATAAATATTCCGCCTAATTACCACAAAGGATATTGTAAATGAACAATGCCTGGTTAATCGTTCTGCGATCATGGAGTGATATTAATTATATTTTTTTGTACAAGTCACGATTGGTCTTATAAGAGGCATCCAGAGAAAATCTTCGAGTGGAATAGTAAGTGGGAATGAGCTTATTCAGTGTTGTATCGAGGCAGATTGATACGCAACGTCCCAGTTGGTAACCTTTACCAATTCTAACCGAAACTTAGCTGGTAATTATTAATGTTTTTTGTCTGTAGCGAAAGCTAGTTAAAAAAATTTGCATTTCTCCCAGTCTGTAAAATGTGATCCTGGAAAATGAGTTTAGAGTCTATGATGACCCCAAGGTCATTTATTTTTTATTTATTGGCATTCAGAACTAGCTTAAGTGTGATTAGTTGATGTTGAATTGTATTAAAATCGCTTTGTAATTTACTGCACACATCTTCAGTGGAGTGGCCAGCAACCATCAAAACAATCTTGATTTGAAGCTTTCGTGACTGCAGGAATCCATACTCTCTGGTTCTTTCAGTAAAGTCACTTAGATAGAAAAAAGAATAAAAGAACACAACGTTTTGGTCGCAACACAAGCATCCGTCATCAGGTGAGAAAGAATGATCTGCTGTTGTGGCTTTATATAGGTACAGGAGGGGGGGGGGGAGGGGGGGGGGGGGAGGGGGGGGGGAGGGGAGTTGTAGAGTCGTGGCTGTAGGAGTTCACGGGGGTGGGGGGGGGGTTTGTGGTCTTGCAGGGATGGGTGGGGGCTGGAGAAATTAGCATGTCACTGAGCTTGAATTAGTAAACAAACAGCACGGGTGTAAGAGTGAGAATCACAGCAGTTGAAACGTGACGTAGTTATCACATCCTTCCAATGATTGCTCAATCTGAATCCATCTTTTCGATTAAAGTTTTGTCTGTGTTTGTATATCTGGATAAAACCACATACAAAAACTAAATTCAGGACCTTCTCAATGATGGCTGCTATACCAAAATTAATAGAGACCCTACCAATAGTCTGGCGACTAAAACCAACAAAATCATCACTAATTCGACTTCCCTAATCGAACCCACCAAACAGCTCTCTCTAAAACCTTCGGCTGCTAGACCACCCAGATTTTACGGCCTTCCAAAAATCCATAAAGAGGGCACTCCACTCCATCCTATCATCTCCACCATCAACTCACCCACTTACAGACTGGCACGATTTCTGTCTGAGACTCTGCTTCCCTTCACGGGCAAGATTGCCTCAGCTGTACTTCATTCGGCCCACTTGGTTTCACTATTCAAGGACATATCACTGTCCCCGGAGGATTTGCTTGTCAGTTTGGATTCCTGCAGTCACAAAAGCTTCAAATCAAGATTGGATCTTGTGTTTGTTTAAGATTTTGGAAATCCTTTTGGTGACCCCTGCTATGTATGGCAAGGTGATGGTTTTGATTGGGTCCTCAGATAGTTCTCTACCCATGGTTGGGGATGCAGCTTTGCGGATTGTACGGTCAGAATAGCCATTCCTCCTGAGAGCCTGGCGTACATGCTCAAGCTCACTGGCCAGGTGGTACTGGTCGGAGATGCAACGAGCCATATGGCGTAGTGTTTTGATGAGGGGATTCTTCTGGGTTGGATGGTGGTGGGAGTCAGGTTTTAAATAGGAATCTGTGTGGGTGGCTTTCCTATAGACAGTGTCCCAATGAGCCATCAGGTCTCTTCTTGATCAAAACATCCAGGAATGGTAGCTTGCCACCATTTTCCACTTCCATTGTGAATTTGATAGATGGGTGTATGGAATTTATGTGGTTGAGAAATTGGTACAGTGTCGGCAGGCCATGTGGCCAGATGACGAAAGTGTCATTCACGTAGCTCTTCCACAAGGGAGGACGTCGAGTGGATGTCTGGATGGCATCTGTCTCAAATTTCTCCATGAAAACATTCGCTACCACTGGTGATAGAGGAGAGCCCATTGGGGTACCTTCATTCTGTTTGTAGAAAGTACCATTACAGGTGAAGTAAGTGTTGGTAAGGCAGTGCCTTACCAACGAAGGTACATCAGGATTCAGTCCCTGTTGGACCAGGTCTTGAATGATTGCAATAGTATCAGGTACGGGTACCTTGGTGAAGAGGGAGACTACATCCAAGGTCGGTTCAATACAGTACACAAAATTCAGGATTTGATCCCATCGGTGAAGGATACGATTCCGGACATGCAATGTCCTGCTGTCTATAAGCTGAGTTGTGTCTGCGGCAGCAGTTACATTGGTGAAACGAAGCGACATGTCTCAGACCGGGTTCGTGAACACAGTGGATTTGAAACGCGTCAGAACCAACACCTCGGCGGTGGCGGACCATTATTTCAACGCTGTGGGCACACATTACATTGTTTTTTCCGAGACCAAGGTGCTCTGCAAACCCTCGGGCTACCATCAGAGATTTGTTCATGAAGACATCCAGATATACAAACACAGACAAAATTTTAATCGAGAAGATGGATTCAGATTGAGCAATCATTTGAAGTGCGTGATAAACCACGTCAAGATTTAACTGCTGTGATTCTCACTCTTACACCCGTGCTGTTTTTGTTTACTAATTCAAGCTCATTGACATGCTAATTTATCCATCCCCCACCCATCCCTGCGCGCAGCAAACCCTCCCCCCCTCTCCCCCCCCCCCGTGAACTCCTGCAGCCATGACACTCACCAGGCTCACCAGGCTCACAACGCTTACCAGGCTCACGATGCTCACCAGGCTCATGATGCTCGTGATGCTCACCAGGTTTATGAGACTCATCAGGCTTGCAACGCTCGCCAAGCTGATGAGGCTCACGATGCTCGCCAAGCTCACGAGGCTCACCAGGGTCACCAGGCCTACGAGGCTCACCAGGTTCATGAGCCTCACGAGACTCGGAATGCTCATCAGTCTCAGTGACATACCACTGCTGCTGCTACCAGAGCTACTGTGGCTGTGAGTGTCGCTGATGGGACTGACACAGTTGGTTCTGCCTCCGCTGCAGGCACGGGCAGCAACTGCTGCTACATGGAGGACCTTCGCAACATCGAGCAGGTGGAGGGGGACGAGGGCCGCATGTGCATCAACATGGAGTGGGGTGCCTTTGGGGACGACGGCTCCCTAGACGACATCCGCACCGAGTACGACCTGGAGGTGGATGCCGGGTCGCTCAACCCCGGGCAGCAGATGTGAGCTCATGCACGCACATACACGGGCACGCACGCAAGCGCATGCACACGCACGACAACAGCAACCACCATTTGCCATTAAGTGGCATTGGAGTCACCACAGCTCCTGTACCAGGCTAGGTGCACTCTGAAGTTTTGAGGGTGAAGTGTGGAAATTCTCTTGCTGCTGGCAGGCCACAGGACAGACCCAGGTCCTGCGAGTTGACTGACTGAGATGACTAACAGAAACACACAGACAAGTGTGTCAACACACTCACGGATACACACGAGTACATACGGGTAAACACGTGGATATACAAACACACGCGGGTACACACCCACATTGGAACACAACAACAACAACTGCTATTCACTACTAAGTGGCGGTTATGTCACTACTGGCAGGAGGTCACGGAATAGACCCAGGTGGCATGGGTTGACTGACTGAGATGACTGGCAGATGCACCACCTGTGCCCCCCTCCATGAACACACAAAGACAAAAGACAAACATCCCCCGTATAGCCTTAACAGACTGTAGTGGCAAGTGCTGTTAGCGAGCACCTATGAAGGCTGGCATGGCACACAAGGGGGTGGGTGGCCAACACCACGCCCGGCCGCCTTTATCTCCCTAGTGACGGTGTTTACACATTGCACCAGGTACTCATTTGAAGCTGAGTCGACCTAGGGGAGGCCCGGGACCGGTTCAGATAATCGTCACTGGTGTTGACCGTGAGCGGGAATCGAACCCGGGTCGCCAGGTTAATAGCGCAGCACGCTAGCCGCTACACTACGCTTTTTCCAGCATTACGACTCATGAAAACAGAAATAACCACTCGGACACTCAATACAGTACAAAGCTGAGTATTTAATAGATCGAAGCATCAACTAGTCATAATCACGTCAACTCTGCATCATTATTCTTCTACAGTATACGTGAAAAACACGCGACTGACCCACGTAACAGTACGAACCGATATATATATGATAAAGACATATTAATGTCTAGGTGTATAATCAGCCAACGTGTGCGCCCTCTAAAATGTAAAAATCAAAGATTACTATACGTTACGTATTGCATGCACTCATGCAATACGTAACAATATGTGCCGACGTATATGTGTAGCACTCCTTAACCGATATATCAAAACCAAGAGAAAATTTGCAAACTCCATGATATAGCGTTAGCATTGGTATTAGAACGAAAAGTTTACTTTCCAAGAACTTAACAGTATACGGAAAATATCGGAAAAACCAAACGGTCCTCTGATAGTCTGGAAAAACAAAGCTGGGCACCTCACAACAGACGAAACAATATATCAAGAAACAGTAATTCTACCAGTAATATATTAGAACAATTATAATTTTCATTTTACAAGTGGGTTCTCTTCGTGAGGTCACCCCTGGGAGCCATGCCCTTCGCATAGGCTGACTTGATAACATTGAGTTCAATATTAAATAGCAATTCCGATCTTGAAATCACGCCCCTCCTCGCAAATATGAATTACCGTTAATGCAACCAGACCATAGGACAATGTAGAACCTGAGAATGAATGCCTCCCTTCCTGGACCATAACTCTGCTGATAGGAATAAAGGCCCTGTTTTAATGAGTTCACCATTTATGTAGTATAAAAGAGAGCAACTTAAAGACACGTGTGATGAACAATTATAAATCGAATATTAATTACGTATTATTATGAAGGGGTACACGCCCAACATCCTGTTCTGCCCATGTGGCATAGAGCGTTGCCCCCCCCCCCCCCCCCCACTTCTACGGGCCCTCCGGTTTTCCTCTCCACATGCGTGGAGGTGGCCAAACATCACAGCATAGGACCCCAGAGCTCGGGAAATAGTTGGTGGCACCGGTTCCGGTTGCCTACCCATGCCTCCAAATCACTCGTGTGTCACGGATCCCAACTTGTGGCTGATGTTGTGGTGGTTGTGTTGGTTGTGGTGGCGGTTGCAGCTTTGAGAAGATGATCAGTGGGCTGTACCTGGGGGAGCTGGTGCGCCTCATCCTCGTTAAGATGACCACGCAGGCGCTGCTCTTCAATGGCAAAGCGACGCCAGAGCTGCTGACACGTGGCCACTTCCAGACGCAGTTTATCACCGCCATTGACACGTACGTATACACACACATGTGGGCGTACACACACACACACACGCATATACACACGTACACACACAGCAACAACCGCCATTCGTCACTAAGTGGTGGTGACGTCACCACGACGCTTATGCCAGGCTATGTGCACCTTGAGGCCACGTGAAGTGTCGAACACCCGCTGGCAGGAGGTCACGGGGCAGACCCAGGTGCCACGGGTCGACTGACTGAGACGACTGGCTGATGCACCACCTGTGCCCCCTACTGTGCCAACTTGCTGTGCTTTAGCTACCCGGCGCTCTGCTCGTTGTTGTGAGCGTCGCTCCTCCGCCCTCCGTTGTTGTTGGAGGGTGACTGCCTCCAACTGTCCAGCAGCATCTTTCATGAGCCTCCTCCACAGAGGCCGATCTTGACACCGCTGGTACGAGTCATCGCCAAGTCCACTCAGCTCCACGTCCTCCTGTACCACATCACTCCATCTCTTCTCTAGCCTGTGCCACGCCCGTTTAGCCGCCTCTATCCGGACGAACAAAAGCTATTTAGGCATGCGGTGACTGGGCATGCGGGCTACATGACCCAGCCAACGCAGCCTTGCCTGATGGAGGAGCTCACCGATGGGACTTTGCCCAGACCTTTCAAGGATGTGTGAGCTCCTCATACAATCCAGCCTGGTTGAACCCAGGATGGATCGTAGGCAGGCCAGCCAAATGCTTCCAATCGGCGAAGATGCTCCGTTAGGGGGGTCTACGTTTCGCAAGCGTAGATAAGGGAGGGAATGACTGTGGCCGAGAAGACCTGAAGCTTCGTGCGGAGCGACAGACCAGGTTGCTTCTACACAGCGTTACGCAACAGATGAAAAGATAATGCCGCTCGACTAATTCTGAGTGAGACTTTTCGGGGTGGAGTCCCCGATGGTACAAAATACCCAGGCAGGTGCTTAGTTTTGGTGGGGCTGATGGTAAGGCCCCACCTCTTAGTGGCACGCTCCAGTTTCAGCAGCAGTGCCTCCAACTCCTCCTCTGAGTGAGCAGCAATTACCAGATCATCGGCATATATAACGTGGTTAACCAATAGGGAGCCATCCCTTGACCGCACCCGGGCATCGATCAGCCTCCCATTGTATCTGTACCAGATGGAAATTCCTCTGGTACAGCCAAAAAAGGCTTCACGAACTACGTGGTTGAAAAGATGTTAAATAATGTGGAAGCCAGAGGACATCCCTGTCGCACCCCAAGGTGAACAGAGAATGGCTCCGACTCCCGGCCACGTAGTTTTACCTGGACCCGCTCGCTATCATGAAGGTCCTTAATGATTGTAAGCAGAGAGTCAGGGACTCCGAAAGCACGAAGAACAACCCAGAGCCCAGGCCTACTAATAGTATCATAGGCCTTGACCAGGTCAATAAAGCAGAGATGTAGGTCTTGCTGGAATTCCCTACACCTCTGCTGTGCAGGACCGCCCTGGCCTGGAACCACAATGATGCTCTGCAAGACTCTCATCAGCGTGCCTGGCAAGGGGATGTTGAATAATCCTTGCCAGGACCTTTTCCGGCACATACAGAGACACACACAGACATGTGCGTCCATACCACATGCATGCGCGTACACACAACACGGACACACACACAGACACACGCACACGCGTGTCCACACCACACGCATGTGCTTACGCACGCACACGTGCATACACATGTTTACAAACATGTGTATTGCAGCTAGGAGGGGGCAACGAAAACGTGCAAGGTGTTGATGTACCTGTGCGTGCGTGCAGGCTTAGCAATAGATGTTGACATACTTATGCAGATGTAGAGGAGAGATATACGCAGTGCGCGCTGTTAAGCGGGTGCAACTGAGGTCAAACGAATGTGTGCGTTGCAACATGAGGTTTGCACTGACAAACCGCCAGTAATTAAGGGGAGAAGCGGGTGCAACCGAGGTCAAACAGGTGGGCACGCTCTGACCGGAGGTTGGCGTCGGAGATACGGGAGATGGGGGGCTGATGATAAGGGATTAATGGGGCAACAGGCGCCGGGGGGGAGCACGTGAGGGCTCGGAATGAGGAGGGATATATAAGAGTGTGCATAAGCGGAGAGAGAGTGGCCTGGGAACCAAGAGTGAAGACATCTCGCCGCTGCCGCTCAAGCCGTCAGCGGAAACTCAACCCTCACGCCGTCGCCGGACGGGCGTTGACTGAACCTCCCGCCCGGGACAGACGGGTGCGCGAGTATGAGGGAGCGTAGGTGAGGGCAGCGGTGGAGAGTCGCTGAGTGCAGAGCTGCTGAGTGCAGAGCTGCTGAGTGCAGAGTTGCTTAGTGCAGGATAAGTGAGGTGCAGGAATAGATAGCAGGGGGGAGAAAGTCAAGTATATGTGACTGTGCAGATAGTTGTAGGAGTGCCTACAACTGGTGCGAGAACAGGTGAAATAAAGTGTAAGCAGGTGACTTGTTACAACGTGTCGGTGTGAGTCATTTAACAAGACACTACACATATGTGCGTTCCAGTGCAGCAAGAGGTGTTCACGTACCTGTGCATGCGTCCTGGCGCAGCCAGATGTGTTGACGTATCCATGCGTGAATCCCCGCGTGTGCAGGCGCAGCAAGGAGGGTGTGCTGAAGGCGCGGGAGCTGCTCTCGGACCACTTTTCGCTGCGCCCGTCAGAGGAGGACTGCGCAGCGCTGCAGCAGATCTGCGCCATCGTGAGCACGCGCTCCGCCTACCTGGTGGCGGCCGCGCTTGGCGCTGTAGTTTCGCGCCTGCGCCTCAACAAGGCTGTGAAGAAGCTGCAGACGACGGTCGGCGTGGACGGCACCGTCTACAAGACGCACCCCCAGTGAGCGGGGCGATCTCGTGCGATCCGGACGGGGTGACCTAACGTGACCCCGACGGGGCGACCTTACACGACCTCGACAGGGTGATCTCGTGTGACCCCAACAGGGTGACCTAACGTGACCCCGACGGGGCGACCTCACGTGACCTCGACGGGTGGCCTGACGTGACCCCGTGGGGCGTTGTCACTTAACTTAGTTACACATTTACACAGCAGTTCCCGTTTCTACCGCTCACCTCTGCAGATGCGGCTGCATTACAGACGCTTCACAATAATATTAAACTGTGAGAGACTAAAACTGTGCATGCGGTTCTTTATCTTCGTCAACATCACCGTCCTTATCACTGCTGCAACCTCACTCCTCTCCTCCCGCCTCCTGTTCTTGCCTCCTCTTCTTCTCTCCCCTCTCCTCTCCTTTTGTCCCCCCTTCTCTCACCTCTTCTTCTCCCCTCCTCCTCTCCCCTCCTCCCCCGCTCCCCGCACAGGTACAGCAAGCGTCTGCAGCTGATGATGCGCCGCCTGGCCCCGGAGAGCCGCGTGCAGTTCCTGCTGTCCGAGTGCGGCAGCAGCAAGGGCTCTGCGATGGTGACAGCCGTGGCGTACCGCCTGGCCGAGCAGCGCAAGCTCATCGACGCTACGCTGGCGCCGCTCAAGCTGTCGCTCACGCAGCTGCTGGACGTGAAGCGTCGCATGCGGCAGGAGATGGACCGGGGACTGGCGCGCGACTCGCACGCCACGGCTAGCGTCAAGATGCTGCCCTCCTACGTCCGCTCCACGCCCGACGGCAGCGGTGAGGCGACACCACGGAGCCCGCCGTTGCAGTGGCGGCAGTGGTGGTGGCGGTAGAGGTAGTGGTGGCGATGGTGGTGGTTGTAGTGGTGGTGGTGGTGGCGGTGGCAGTAGTGATATTGGTAGTGGCGGTGGCGAAGGTGGTAGTGGAGGCTGTGGTGACCCTGGCAATGATGGTGGTAGTGGAGGTGGTGATGGTGGCGGTGGGGAGTGGTAGTGTAGCAATTAGCGCACTGCGCTATGAACCCAGCCACTCGAGTTAAAATCCCACACATGGCCAACATCAGAGATGATTACTTGAACCGGTCCTGGGCCTCTCCGAGGTCGACTCAGCCTCCGATGAGTACCTGGTGCAGTGTGTAAACATCGACCCTGGGGACACAAAGACGACCGGGCGTGGTACCGGCCAACCACCCTCTCGTGCCCCGTGCCGGCCTTCGTAAGCACTACGCAAGCGTCACTTGCCCTGTCAGTCTGTATGTGCCACACGGGTGAACTTTGCATCTTCATGTTGGCGTCTGTGTAGAGAACGGAGACTTCCTGTCGCTGGACCTGGGCGGCACGAACTTCCGCGTACTGCTTGTCAAGATCCGCAGCAGCAAGAAGCGAAGCGTGGAGATGCACAACAAGATCTACCCCATCCCTGCGGAGATCATGCAGGGCAGCGCTGAGGACGTACGGAGATGCACACACAGATACAGATACGCACAGATATGGAGATACATCAATACCTGCCATTTTCCGCTAAGTGACGGTGATGTCACCACGGCACCTGTGCGCCAGGCCAGGTGCACTTTGAGACCATGTGAAGTGTGGAAGACTCACTGACATCGGACAGACCCAGGAGGTGCCATTGGTTGACTGAGATGATTGGCAGATGCATCAGCTGTGCCCCCTACTGTGCAAACTTGCTGTATTTTAGCTGCCTAGCGCTCTACTCATTGTTGTGAGCATCGCTCCTCTACCCTCCGTTGTGTTGAAGGCCGACTACCTCAAACTGACCTGTAGCATATTTTATGAGCCTCCTACATAGATACACATACACATGCAAATACACAGAGAAACACAGATACACACACACGCAGATACACACCCAGATACACACAGATATACACAGAGATAGAGACAGATACATACACACACACCGAGATACACGGAGAGATACGCACACAAATACAGATACACACACCGATCTATACACACACACACGGAGATACACGCACAGATATACACAAAGATACACACACGGAGATAAACACACACACATAAAGACAAAGACACCCCGTATAGCCTTAACAGACTGTTGGGGCAAGTGCTGTTCGTGAGCACCTATGAAGGCCGGAACGAACAACGATGAAGTGGGTAGCCAGCGCCACTCCCGGCCGCCTTTGTCTCCCCAGTAGCGATTTTTACACACTGCACCAGGGAGTCATTTGAGGCTGAGTCGACCTAGGAGAGGGCCAGGTCCGGCTCAGATATTCGCCACTGTTGTTGGTTGGAGAGCAAATTGAACTCGGGTCACGAGGTTCATCGCGCTGTGCGCAAGCATTGCACCACCGCTCCCCACACAGATACACACACAGATGTACAGAGAGAGACATATAAAGATATACTGAGATAGGTATGTGCATAGGTACATGCAGACTTCGACAGAACATCCATATATAACCGCACACACACACACTAACCATGTACCCGTGTCCCCCCTGTGTCTCTGTATGTGTCCCTGCATGTCCCCTTCGTGTCCCCGCATGGCCCCCCCTGTGTCTCTGCGTGTCCCCGTGTCCCTGCATGTTCCCGTATCCCCCCATGTGTCTGTGTGTGTCCCCGCATGTCCCTCCGTGTCCCCGCGTGTCCCCTTGAGTAGCTGTTTGACCACATCGTGGGCTGCATCTCCGACTTCCTGGACTACATGGGCATGGCCGGGTGGCGCCTCCCCCTCGGCTTCACCTTCTCCTTCCCATGCCGGCAGACGAGCCTCGACGTGGTGAGCACCACCACCACTACTACCATCACCACTATCACCACCACCACTACTACCACCTCCTCCACCCCCACTACCACCATCACCACCCCCACTAACACCATCACCACTACCACCAGCAGTGACGTGAGGTGAGGTCAATGGCTGGGGAGGCACTGGCTCGTGTCAGAGCCAGATTCACACACTGAGGGGGGCGTGGCCTCACTGAGGGGGCGTGTTAGACACGTCCCCCTCAGTGGGGCAGATGTGATAGCTGCCTCCCCAGGTCCTTTTTCATTGCAGTTTCATGACGAGACCAGCGAGCCTAAATATCTTTATAGTTTATAGTATAAAGATATTTAGTTTATACATGATTGGAATCGTACAGAAATGACATTTATAACACAGATCAGTGGAAAAATCTTAATATTGAGCTTATTTGATTATTCTCTTTTTTTACTTTTCGTAACAGCTATTTTCATTGGAGTATCACAGGTGAGGCTCTGCCTCCCCTGCTTCCCCTGACCGCACGTCCCTGACCACCAGTACCAAAAAGATTTTAAAAATCATGAGCAAACACAAGATCCAGGTTCGATTTAACACAGTACGTAAAATTAGTCATCTGATGCCATCTGTGAAGGATGTGATCCCTGACATGCAATACCCCGGCATCTGCAAATTAAGCTGCGTCTGCGGCAGTAGTTATATTGGGGAAACTAAGCGACATGTTTCGGACCGAGTCCGTGAACATAAGGCAGATCTGAAACACGGTAGGACCAATACCACGGCCGTGGCTGATCATTGCTTTAATGCGATGGGCTCACACGAAATTGATTTCTCTAAGACGAAGATACTTTGCAAACCCACTGGCTATATACCTACTATAATCACCCAGGAATGTCCTTATCGCCCGTGATGTCACTCCACATTGAACAGCCCCCCTCATTGATAATCATTATAAGGTGACGTCCTCCAAATGGACACCCCCCCCCCCATTCATAATAATTAGCGGCTGACGTCACTCCACATGGGGCACCGAGGTGCCTCGTCCCCCCTCCTCGGCATCAACTTTTAACCCTCACTACAAAGGCAGAACCCTCACGTCACGCGATCTCCGTAACGCTATTGAGACATCAAAGTAAAAAGGACTTCATGATTTGATTTGAAGCTTTCATGACTGCAGGAATTCATACTCTTTGGTTCTTTCGGTAAAGTCACATAGATAAAAACAAATAATTAATAAATCACCTTTTTCCCTCTGTTAATTTCACCCATACCCTCTCGCCCATTGCGGCAGCCCCCCCCTCCCCCTCCTCAGATTAGCCGAGCTCATCCACCCCTACCCTCTGCGATTACATTTACTTGCAAATTCCATCCCTAGTCCCGCCCACTTACTCTTGGGTTGTAGCCACCACAAACGTATATAACCTTTGGTTGCAGTAGCTCTCTTGCTACATTTCTTCCTCAGCAGTCCGCCTGCTGTATTGTTTCACCTGAAGACGGTGGCTTGTGTTGCTATCGAAACGTTGTGATTTATTAGTTATTTTTTTTCTATGTATGTGACTTTACCGAAAGAACAAAAGAGTAAGGGATTATAACCTTAAAATTAAATAGGTCTGTGTCACCGCGCCCTTACAAATTGCATACGCATTAATGCAATGAATATCATGTCACGGTCTGCTTATCGCTTGCAAGTTTCAGATTTACTGCAATACACCCGTCGTTGGACGGGCAAAGGGCTAGTCAACAAAGATTCGTTCATGAAGCCATCCATATATACAGACATAGAAACAATTTCAACTGAGAAAATCGGTACAAACTCAGCAATCACTGGAAGGATGTTATCAACCAGTTTAAGTCATAACTGGCTGTAATGTTTCCATTTTAGACCTGGCAGCCCTTTAATTGGTGGAAGCCCACCACCAGGACCATCACTGCCCACTACTACCATCACCACTAGCAGTAGCCCCTTATTAGTGGAATCCCACCACCAGCACCATCATTACCCACTACTACCATCACCACGAGCAGCAACCTCCACCGTCACCAGTGTGAGTGTGTAAAGCGAGGTGCAATGATTACCTGGCGGCCCTTTGATTGGTGGAGACCCACTGACGGTGACATTAACATTAGCTGCCCCGCCCATGCTGATGACACTTGGGCTACGCCCATCTCTAAACCTTTATAAACAGTTTGCCTTTAGAGGCTAACCCCCTTTTCCTGATGATGACCGCTTGTGTTGCGATCGAAACGTCGTAGTTTTTTGTTGTTTTCTTTGAATCTATCTACGTGACTTTACTGAAAGACCCAAAGAATATGAATTCCTGCAGTCACGAAAGCTTTAAGTCAAGATTTACACGGGGAATTTTTGTGTGTGTGCAGGGGTTCCTGGTAAACTGGACAAAGGGCTTCAAGGCCTCAGGCTGTGAGGGCAAGGACGTGGTGATGCTGCTCCGGGAGGCGATCCAGCGCAGAAACGTATGCCTCCACATATACGCACACACAAAGTTGCTCTGCGTAGCCCACACAGGCTGTTAGGGCAAGTGCTCTTTGTGAGTATCAGCTGACACAGCGTGGCACCTATGAGCGGCCGGTGGGGCCAATAACACCGTCCCCGCCCGGCTGCCTTTGTCTCCCCCAGTGTTGATGTTAACACGCCACACCTGTTATTCATTTATGGTCGAGTCCACCTAGGGCAGGCCCAGGACCTGTTCGGATCGTCGGAACTGATGTTGACTGTGAGCGGGAATTTGAACTCGTGAACATGGGTTACCGGGTTCGAGGCGCAGTGCGCTAACCATTGCATTACTGGTCCCAAACATAGGCCCCAGGGTAGTTGCACCGCCTGCGTACTCACTCACTATCTATAGTACTGCTTACTACACTCACTCACGAGCTCCAGTACTGCTTGCTCGCACTCACGTGACAGCTACACAAAAATAACGCTTCCAAACAAGCGAAAGGCACAGATCGCCGGGATCGTAGCGCGGTGTGCTAACCACTGCGCCACCAATCCCCTCAATCATTTATTTGCTCACCCATTCACCTACTCAACGAATCACTCACCCACCCACGTAGTCACCCTCTCACTCACTCACCCTCGCCAGCTCAGCCGCGACCGTGCGTGCGTGACTGTAGGAGTTCGAGTTGGACGTGGTCGCGGTGGTGAACGACACGGTGGGAACCATGATGACGTGCGCCTACGAGGACCCCAAGTGCGAGATCGGACTCATCGTCGGTGAGACGCTCGCTCTCACTCGATCGCACACTCTCGTTCACTCGCTCTTGCCCGCTGGCTCACTGGCTCTCTCACTCACTTGCCGGTTCACTCTCGCTCGCTCACTATCGCTCGCTCGGACTCGACCACACACTCTCGTACACTTTTTCACTTGCTCGTTTGCTTGCTCACTCTCACTCACTCTCACTTGTTCATGCTCGCTAGCTCACTCACTCACTCACTTTCTCGCTCGCTGACTCGCTCACACTGACTCTCTTTCTCTCACTCACTCTCTCTTACGCATGCTCACTCGCTCACTTACTCCCTCTCACTCACTCACCCGCTCTCACTTGCTCGCTGGCTCACTCACTCTCACTCACTCACTCGCTCACTCGCTGGCTCACTCTCTCACATGCTGGCTCACTCACTGTCGCTTAATAACTCACTCATTGTCACACCAACGGTGACAGCCGCCAATCGTCGTGATGTCAGCACAGCACATGTGCTAGACTGGGTGCACTCCGAGGCCACGCGAGGAGGCAAATCAGTGTTGCAATCAATGCGGTCCGATTTCTTAAAAAAGGGAGACCACCAGGACATCCTTCCAATCCTGCAGAAATCCATCTTGTGGTGCAGACGGTCGTAATGATGTCATACATAGCAGCCTGCACACAGACACCACCCTTTCTCAGCAGTTTTTCTCTGCCCGCGAAATGTTCCTGGTCTGAGGCTCTGGATCACTCTTTGCACTTCCTCAACAGATGGCACCTCAGACAGCTGCTCACAGGGGGGCAGCCACTTCCTACACAATTTGAGGCAAAGCATCCCCAGCAGGGTCGTTCCCACCTTGTTATCTGGGCTGAGGAATTACTCCTCCCCCAAGTGCCCTCAGAAATGGTCAGAAAATCTGCAAACCTCTTCCTGGGGATCAGAGATTGGATCGCCACTCTTTTTCCTTAAGGATGGCAATACGTGTGGTGTTGCAAAGTCACCTTATTGATGGAGTCAGAGTGATTTGTGATTGCGGGCTACTGAGGCAGCTTCCATCTCCTCAGCAACCCCTTACCACCACTCATTGCAGCATCATGCGGCTCTTTGAACCTCCCAAGCGATTCTCCGACATGGGTTGTTGTAGACAGTGGAAGTGGGCCTGTTACTTTCTCTCAACCAGCCGGAACGCTTCCTTCACCAGCCAGGATCTCTGGGGAGGTCTGAACTGTGTACCAGTTGCAGCCATAGCAGCTACATGAGCCACAGTCCTCAACCTTACCCATTTCCCCTCGGCATCAGGAGGAGGGTGGGACTATGCCAACCGCAGCTGCATGCGATGATGAAATTCAAAGCAATAACCTTCATAAGCTACCTCAGACCAGGCTACTGTGGGTTTCAATGGGGTCTTAGGTGGACACCCAACACTGCAGTGGAAGAGTGGCAGGCGCATTTTACAGATGACAAGCCGATGGTCAGTGGCCATATCGTATGTATGCATGTATGTTGAACTTCTTTCGCAGCATACGTAGCCAACCATGCTAATCAGAAGTGTGGGAGAAGACAACAAACTAAAAACAAAAAGTATATCAGCTCCACGGTAGCCCATATGCACTGTTCCATTACTTTGTAGTCCAGAAGATATTTTTTCTTGGACCCGGCGTGCATCCATGATGTTTTGTGGATGTGCCGATCCTGGAACAGCATGTTGGTAATTATAAACCCACTGGCTGCACAGAAATCTAGCAGCCTCCGACCGTTATTATTGAACTGATCTTCCCCATGCCTTCCAATCAGTCCATCCCAGGTGACTGTGTCAGTACCCACGAGGGAATTACAGTCAGCCATGCAGATGACTCTTATGCTGAGGTGTCACTTTAGCCAGCAGAAGAAACACGATGTCATAGAAGGCATCTAATTCATCAGCCTTGCCTGTATCCCTCCATTGATGTTCATTTTTGGTGGGGGCGCAAGCCACCGCCACCACCACTACCACCATTTCTCACCTCCTGTTGATGGGGTGGCGAGCTCACAGTAGCTTCTCACACCTTACTGCCACACTCCCACGACCCCTTCATTGTTTTCTTCAGAAGAAGAACCCCTCCCTGTGTATTGAATCCACCTTGACTAAAATTCCTCCACTGATGTGCATCCTCGATCTCTTACCCATCTCATCTCTCTCACCCATCTCTCTCACCCATCTCTCTCTCCCATCTCTCTCACCCATCTCTCTCACCCATCTCTCTCACCCATCTCTCTCACCCATCTCTCTCACCCATCTCTCTCACCCATCTCTCTCACCCATCTCTCTCACCCATCTCTCTCACCCATCTCTCTCACCCATCTCTCTCACCCATCTCTCTCACCCATCTCTCTCACCCATCTCTCTCACCCATCTCTCTCACCCATCTCTCTCACCCATCGCTCTCACCGATCGCTCTCACCCATCCCTCTCACCCATCTCTCTCACCCATCTCTCTCCCATGTTTCTGCCGCGTCTTTTCCGTGTCCCGGCTGTGCCCAGGCACGGGCAGCAACTGCTGCTACATGGAGGAGATGCGGAACGTGGAGCTGGTGGAGGGCGACTCGGGCCGCATGTGCATCAACATGGAGTGGGGCGCCTTCGGGGACTCGGGCGTCATCGACGACATCCGCACCGAGTACGACCAGCTGGTGGACGCCGGGTCGCTCAACCCCGGCAAGCAGAGGTGTGTGGGGGCACACTGGGTTGCACGGCCTGTCTCGGGCACACGTGTACGTGTGTGTGTATTTATGTGTGCGTGTACATACGCTTGTGTGTGTACATTAGGGAGACAAAGGTGGCCAGGCGTGGTGCTGGCCACCCAACCCCTCGTGTATTGTGCCAGCCTTCATAAGTACTCGCTAACAGCACTTGCCCCAACAGTCTGTTACAGGCTATACGGGGGATCTTTGTCTTAGTTTTTTCAGTGGTGGCACAATGGCTATCGCATTGAGCTCTAAACACAGTCCGATTCTCGCTCACGACCAGAATTAGTAATGATTATTGGAACTGATCCTGTGGCCTCCCCTAAGACAACTCAGCCTTAAATTAGTACCTGGTGTGGTGTAAGACAAAGTTGTAGTGTCGTTCTTCATAGGTGCTCGCTAAACAGTACTTGCCTCTCTAGAGACCTCACGGGGATCTGTGCCTCTGCAGGTTTGAGAAGCTCATGAGTGGGATGTACCTGGGCGAGATCGTGAGGAACATCCTCATGGACTTCACCAAGTCCGGCCTCCTTTTCCGCGGCAAGATCTCCGAGCGTCTCAAAACCCGCGGCATCTTCGAGACGAAGTTCCTCTCCCAGATCGAGAGGTGAGCCCCAGGCATGATGGGGGGAGGGGGTGCACGGACAAAGATGTTGCCATCTACTCAGCCTTGCACAAATTCGGACGCGTGGCCATCTCCATTCATCGTCCCGCGTATCCCTGCGTGTCCCCGCATGTCCCCGTGTGTCCATCTCTACTCATCGCACCGTGTCTCCATTTGTCCCCTGTCCCCGCGGGTCCCCGTGTTTCCCTGTGTATCCCCGCGGGTCCCCACATGTTCCCATGTGTCCTCGTGTGTACATCTCCATTCATTGCGCCCTGTCGTACTCGTGTCCCCATGTCCCTGTCTGTCCCCGCGGGTCCCTGCGTGTCCCTGTGTCCTTGTGTGCCCCCGCGTGTCCGTCGCCACTCATCGCCCCGTGTCTTCCCCGACTGTGTTCTCACAGTGACCGGCTGGCCCTGCTGCAGGTGAGGAACATCCTGCACGAGCTGGGCCTGGAGAGCACTTGTGATGACAGCATCATCGTGAAGGAGGTACGGGAGTGGTTGTGGTAGTGTGGCGGTTGTTGTAAGATCCTCCTGCCATTCTTCCACTGCTGGTGGTGGGCATCCACCTAGGAACCCATTCAAACCCACAATAGCTGGTGAAGGTTACAAGCAAGAATGTTATCATCGTTTGCAGCTGAGTTAATGGGAAAACGACGATCGTTCAACGAGTGTTTGCTTACCGAGCAATTTTCGCGGAACGCATCTCGCTCGTTAAGAGAGAAGATGCGCCTGTAGTTTGTTCTCACTGTGGTGCTGTGCCGCACGAGTGTGTTGTGCTCTCATCTCACAGTGTTGCGGTGCGTGGTGCGGTGTGTGGTGCTGGGTGTGGTGCCGTGTGTGGTCCTAGGTGTGCTGTTGTCTCACCGTGGTGCGGTGTGGTGTGTGGTGCCGTGCCATGTACGGTGCTAGGTGTGCGGCGTGGTGTCTCGCCGTGCTGCCCAGATGTGCGGTGCCGGTATGGCAGCCATTGTGGACAAGATCCGTGAGAATCGCGGCCTGGAGCACCTGAAGGTCACGGTCGGGGTGGACGGCAGCATGTACAAGCTGCATCCACAGTATGTCTCCCTCGGGGGCACAGGCGGGGGGCATGGGGGGGAATGGAAAGGGACACGGGGGATACGAGGGGGGGTTGGGGCATGGAGGGGGAACACAGGGCTATGAGTAGACACTCACCTGATGATTGTGTGACCCCCGTGTGACCCACCAGCTTTGCGCGCTTCCTGCACGACACGGTGAAGCAGCTCTCCCCCAAGTGCGAAGTCAAGTTCCTGCAGTCAGAGGACGGCAGCGGCAAGGGGGGCGGCGCTCATTACCGCCGTGGCGTGCCGCTTCCGTAACTCCTCCGAGTCCTAGCCGCCCGGCACCACCACCTCACACACCAACCCCGCTCAGCACCACACCACCATACACTGCCACCGGCACCACCACGACCAAACACACACCACCACCGCTTGGCACCACCACCACACACTGCCACCATACCACCACCACACAAACCGCCACCCCACCACCACCATGGGGCACACACTGTCACGGCACACACAACCACGGACAACCACTACCGCCACCACCACCACACAAAACAACGGACAACCACTCCCTAGACCACCACACACCAACACGGATAACCACTACCGCCACCACCACACACAACCACGGACAACCACTACCACCGCAAACACAACACACAACCATGGACAGCCACTACCTCCACCACCACACACTAATATGGACAACCACTACCACCACACGCTGCCCTGACACGCACGTCCATTTGGGTTCAGGGTTCATCGATCGCTCACCCCCGACCTTTGACCCCTGTAGCCCCAACACTCCTCCTCTGAGCTTTGAGTGGCAGGCACTCCTCACAGCCGGTCCCCGGTGAGGTCCCAGTGAGGTCCCCGGTGGGTTTCCCAGTGAGGCCTCCGGTGGGTATCCTGGTGAGGATCCGGTGAGGCCTCCGGTGAGGCTCCCGGTGAGGCCCCCGGTGAGGCCTCCAGTGAGGATGCGAGAGTGAGCAGTGGTGAGTCGCATGTGTTTGGTGTGGGTGTGTGTGCCTCTGTGTGTCTTTGTCTCTTTGTGGCTGTGTCTGTGTGTGTGTATATAATTGTGTGTGTCTTTGGGAAGCGGTAGTGTAGCGGTTAGCGCGCTGCACTATGAACTCGGCGACCCGGGTTCGATTCCCGCTCACGGCCAACACCAGTGGCGATTATCTGAACTGGTCCTGGACCTTCCCTAGGTCGACTCAGCCTCAAATGAGTACCTGGTATGGTGTGTAAACATCGTCACTGGGGAGACAAAGGCGGTCGGGCGTGGTGCTGGCCACCCACCCCCTCGTGTATCGTTCCGGCCTTCATAGGTGCTCGCTAACAGCACTTGCCCCTACAGTCTGTTAAGGCTATATGGGGGATCTTTGTCTTTGTATGCATGTCTGTGTGTACCTGAGTGGGTCCGCGTGTCTGTGTGTGCACGTTTGTGTACGCGAGTATTCTATACATGTGTGTTTCAATATGTGTGTGTGTGTGTATATCGCTGTGTTGTGTCTCTCTCTGTCTCTACTTGGGAGACAGTTCCACACATTTCGCGATGAGACGCGTTCCTTTTAACTCCATGATGCACCTTACGTCGCCACCATTTCCCACTGTAGACTAGTGAGGCCCCCAGTGAGGCCGGTCGTCAACACTGTACAGGCTCCTGTGACAAAGTCCCAACACAATATCAACACCATAACAACACAGCAATAACCCGTAGCAGATCCCGGTACAAAGCAAATTTCTACCACCCAAACACAGGTGCCAATATCCATATTGTTCCGGGTCAAAGCCGGACAGGTGGCTCCCCTGGGGGCACACCCTCTGGGCCACCTTGGAGGCCACCCTGGTTACCCCCTTGATTACCCCTTACACAGTCGGATGGTCTCACATCTCCCCCTGCTGCTTTGAAGCTTTGGTTCATCACCCCCCTGCGACGTTCGCCGTGGTATTTATTGAATCTGGCCGCCACTCGATTGGGCGGGGTGGCCTCTGCGTCCAATCAGCTCTGTCGTCCAGCCAGCCGGCCAGCCATCGTGGTGAACCTTGTATAGATCCGGTCGTTACGAACCGCGACCTGTGATCCGGCACTTTGGGAAGGGTAGGGGTTGATGGTTGGTGGATCACACAGGTTTGTGGAACTCGCAAAAATCTCTCTGTCTGTGCTGCTGCTACTACAGGAGATGGTAGTACAGCAAGCTGAACTCGTCTGTGTGGCAGAGCAGTTGAGTGTTGCAGTCCCCCCTCGTATATGCAGCCCGGTGCTGGCTTCTCTCCGGGTTCTCCCGTTTTTCTCCCACGTAAAGAGAGCGCAACTCTCAATTATTGGCAAGTAAAGGGAATTGGCCAAACATCCTGACGTGGCAGCACCCCTCTTGAAAATCAGTCTTGAGACTCGGCGAGTCTTTCCAGGGTAACTTGATGTTGTTAATACTGTATTCGTCTGAGCTCGAGGGATAGCGATGTATTGTACCGTTGTGTGATGAGGGTGTTGTTGATGATGACGCAGTGTGGCGCTGTGTGATGGCTAGAGGGGTGTGATCGGATGGCAATCGTTATGAGATGATTGATTCATCCAATTAGCTGGGCGATGATGATGAAATGAGGGTGGCTGATGATCATGATGTGAAGTCCTGCTGTCTCCGAGTGCCCCCCGTGTGTCACTTTAAGTCACTCTGTGTTGCCGTGTGTCACCACGTGCCACTGTGTGTACTCATGTAAACACTTCCTCGGCATGTGTTGGCGACGTCGCTTCTGTGTGTCTACTTGAAAGTCGTCCGCGTGGTGATGATGACTATGACGATAGATGATGATGATGCTGACCATGATGACTGATGACGGTGATAGTGGTGACTAGTTGCCACCTTTTACACATTATCAACACTTTTGCAGTCTCCCATAATTAAATTCAATGCCACCAGATCTTGGTACAAAAGCAATTCCAGTCACCCGAACACAGATGCCAATTCCGGGACTGCGGGTCAAACCTAGACAAGTCATGCCCAGACAGGTGGAAAACCCGGTGGTCATAGTGAAGGTGATTTGATATTTTTTTTTATTTTTTTTTGAGCCGCCCTTCCATATGCCGGTGGTGGCGTATCAGACCACTTTACATCACATCTTGGCATGTTTGAAAGTGGCATCCCCCCAGTGACAGCTGTCCCCTGTGTGGCATGAGATGACTCGGACCCTGGCCTGCAAGCAGGCGTCAGGCTGTCAGTCGCACGGTGATGAATGCTGATGCTGCGTGGAATCCCAATTGAGTAATGATTGCTGTGGCGATGTTAACGATGTGTGACAGGAGAGCTGATAATACTGATGACGACGATGATAGTGGTGACGATGATCGTGATGACAATGGTGGTGATGATAATGCTGATCATAACAATGCTGATGACGGTGACGGCGACGATGACAATGGTGACGATATTGAAGACGGAGCCGAAGACCATGCGGATGATCCAGGCTGTGCGCAATCACAAGCTTTTATTTATTGTGCGTTTTGTGTAGAGTAGCGTGCGGCGTGCCCCGCCGGTCTGTGTGCTCACCGTGCTTTGGGGGTGTAACGACTCCACAGATCAATCACCGGTTTCTCTCTCCACGCTGTTAGAAAAAAGACCCCACGCAATTCGATAGCTTCACTCGAGACCCCCTGCGGCAGCCACGAGCGGGGCACTAATTATTTTCCCCAAAAAATCGTCTAATTGCATCGTTACACCCCTAAAACGATTACAGAGCGGCGCTTCTGCGTTCGTCAATCGCGGCAATGTCGCGTGCGGTGGGATAACGTGTGGGGTGCGCTCACCTCTTCTTCCGAGACGGTACTGGTCAGCGTGGAAGAGTAGACCAAAAATATCAGCCAGAGCCAATCGGCGGTGGGCTTGGCTTCGAGCCGCCGCATCGCTTGAGGATGTCGTGACGACCGCTCTGTCGTGGCTCTGTAAATGGCTCCACGTATCTCTGTGGTTGTGAATAAAGAAGCGCCGTGTCCCTACCCTCCTGCTTCTGCGCCGCGTCCAATGTCTACACTGCCAAAGAGGCACCATGTGGGTCTATCATCTGGCCGTAGGTAGGACATTGCTCATGATGATGGTAAACGCATGGAGAGGCGCACGCTTGGAGTTGCACTGAGAGACGGCAAGAGGAACATGTATGTATGTGTACGTTGAACTTCTTTCGCACCGTATGTAGCCAACCGTGTTCATCTGAGGTGTGGGGGAAGGGCGACAAATTAAACACAAAAAGCATTTCAAAAGAGATGAGTTTTCAATCTAGATTTGAAAGTGCGGAGCCCCAGTGGCTTCCTAATATCGGAAGAGAGCATTCTAGAAGGCCGCAGATGCACATCTGAAAGTGCACGATGCAGTGACCGTCTGTGTTCCATGACTTGCCAAAAGCCACCGCAAGGATGAACGGAGTGCATGTGATAGTTTATGTTCCTTGAGATCAGAAAGGCATATTGGTTCCTTTGTGGCAAGGGTTAACAACCGCAGGTTGATAACATCACAATGACCTCTATTATGGGCTCGGGCAGAACATGCCACGGCTAAGGGACAATGATGGCTGGTGGTCGAGAATCTCGAGAGAGAGTGACAGCTAGGGAGTAGAATGCATCCTTGAGGGTCGTCCATAGAGGAAATGGAGCGATGTAAATCCTCTCGTGTGCAGAAGCTGGGTGAATTGTTATATCATAAGATATGGTAAGTGTTGGCGATAGGTTTGGGGTTATTCCATCATCCATCTACTATTTAACTATTTTTATTTTACCAGGTAAGGCCCACTAAGTGACGGAGCCACATAGCTCACCGAAGTGACTTATCACGTAGAAATGTATAGCATCCAAATTATTGAAACGCATGTTGATTCTAAATGTGGAGGGAAAAATTAAGCTACACGAACACGAGAGACATGCAAACTCCAAATATACACCAGGTCTCAGGGTCGGAATCAAACGCACGACCTCCTGCATACCAGGCGAGGTAGTTAACATCTCGCTGTCGTGGCGCCCCTAGCAGTGGATCGACCATGGCCGACGATGGCATCGACGAGAACTCCAAATTCCCACGTGCAACAACAGTGACGTCACCCCAACGCCCTCGGTGTCACGTGACCGAACACCCCTCCCCACATCATTTTCCGTGTCACGTGACCCCTCGCGCCTCTCGTCCAATCAGCGTTGAGGGATCCGGATCCCGGAAACCCGGTTCTAGAGTGTTCGGAAAGAACCGGGAACCCCGAAGGAAGAGAGGCGGCGAGTCGCGATCATACTTCACCACTCTGGTCAACGCAGGCGAGGGTGCCACGTGGTGAGCACGGCGAGTACAGCACAACACCGAGTGTGCTGCTGGGTACGCAGTACAGTTCGATTCCCGCTCACGGCCAACACCGGTGACGATTGTCTGAATCGGTCCTGGGCCTCCCCTAGGTCAACTCAGCCCCAAACGAGTAGCTGGTGCGATGCGTAGTAAACATCGCTAGCACTGAGGAGACAAAGGCGGCCGGGCGTGGTGTTGGCCACCAACCGCCTCGTGTGCCGTGCCGGCCTTCATAGGTGCTCGCTAACAGCACTTGCCCCTACAGTCTGTTAAAGCTATACGGGAGATATTTGTCTTTGGATTCGGGTTGGAGTCGTTATCGTCTCTGCGTGTCGAGAGGCGCTGCCTGGATTGACCACGCTGGTTCAGCGCGCCCTGGGGGACGCGATTAGCACAGCGAGTACAGTACTATGCTGGGTTAAGGTTATAAACATTTGGGCTGGCCTGTCTACGGCTGGATTATTTTCGGAGTTCACAATCCTTGAAAGATCTGGGACAGTTTTCATCATCGGTGAGCTCCTCCGGCAGGCAGGGCTACGTCGGCTGGGTCACGTGGCCCGCATGCGCAGCCGCCGCATGCCCAAGCAGCTTCTGTTTGGCCGGATAGAGGGGGCTAAACCGGAGTATGTGGAGCTGAGTGGCCTTGTAGATGACTGATCACAGCGGTGTCAAGATCGGCCTCTGTGGAGGAGGCTCGTGAAGGACGCTGCTGCTGCTGGGCAGTTGGAGGCAGTCGCCCTCCAGCAACAACGGAGGGCCGAGGAGCAACGCTCACAACCACGAGCGGAGCGCTGGGTGACTAAAACGCAGCAAGTTGATGCAGTTGGTGCATCTGGCAGTCATCTCAGTCAACCCCAAACCTATGGCAACTGGGCCTGTTCCGTGACCTGCTATCGGGTAGTAGTGTGGATGTTGGTATTAGGGTAGTAGCTTTTTGGGTGTAGGTATTGGGTTAGAAGTAGTAGTGTTGGTATTGGGGTAGTAGCAGTCGTTAGGGTGTTTGTATTATGGTAGTAGTGGTGTGGGTGTTGGTATTGGGTTAGAAGTAGTAGTGTGAGTTGGTATTGGGGTAGTAGTAGTAGTGGTGTGAGTTGATATTGGGGTAGAAGTAGTGTTGGTATTGAGGTAGTAGTAGTCGTGTGGGTGTTTGTATTAGGGTAGTAGTAGTAGTGTGAGTGTTGGTATTGGGATAGTAGTAGTAGTGTGTGTAATCGAAACGTCGTGATTTATTTTATTTATACCTACGCGACTTTACCAAAAGAACCAAAGAGTATGGATCCCTGCAGTCACGAAAACTTCAAATCTAGTAGTGTGGGTGTTGCGTGGCGCCGAGTGTAGAAGCAACTTTGGGGACGACGAGGAGGAGGATGCATAGAGGCATGGCCGATGTGTGCAGCCTTGCGTCAACATCGCTCCTGGGGTGTGCTCACGTCGTGTTCCACTGGCGATGTCATGCTGATGATGTGTCGCTTGATGTTGATATTTTTAACCATTGGAAACCTCATTTTCCAGTAACAATGGTGTAAATGCTTACCCCGAGCTCTCATACTCTGATGGTGCATTGTCTTTGAGTTGTGCGCCTTTTGGCGTCTTCTGGTCCAACACCATGTGAGACGAGGCTCTAAAGCTGTCTCGGGTGTGGACCAATTAATTTCAAGGACAGTGCATACATTATCAGAGTTGTTTTTTGTTTGCGTTCGGACAGCAGGTATTGTGTTTAATGTAAACATGACTCCTTGTTAAAAAGGTGTCAGTTTTGTTGCCAGATAAAAGGGTAAAAAAAAAATTATCGTTGATATTTTTGTTGCTGTGTGTTGTTGATACATAGTGGTAGTGGACTGATGTTGCATTCATGTGTTGATTTGTCTGAGTGTTGGTGTGATGCTATATATATTTTTTACATCGACCTTGTGTTGTGTTCAAATTGTGTCAAAAATTGATTTATTATGGTCACTTGGAAAGTCCCTTTTGACATTTACTATCTCTAGCATGTCGGCTATCACGCACATAACATACACGCAATGGCACGTATACACATTCACACAAACTCACACATAGACAACGTAAGGCAATGTTTCCCCCCCATGTAGCCTCAACAGACTGTTGGCGCAAGTGCTGTTAGCGAGTAGCACCTATGAAGGCCGGCACAGTACACGAGGGGGTGGGTGGCCAGCACCAGGCCCGGGCCGCCTTTGTCTCCCCATTGGAGATGTTTACACACTGCACCAGGTACTCATTTTTAACACCTGTTTTGTTGCCAGAAAAAAGGGGAAAACCTATTTTCATGTTTTGGTACTTGCAAAGTTAGGTCCCATGATGTAGGTGCTCACCCCGAGCTCTCATTATTCTGATAGTGCGTGTCTTTGTGCTGTACGCCTTTTGGCGTCCTCTGGTCTAACACCCTTTGAGACTAGGCTCGAAAGAAAGCTGTTTCTGGTGTGGAACGATCAGTTTCAATGACAATGCATATATTATCAGAGTATGTTTTTGTTTGCATTCTGACCACAAGTAATTTGGTTAATGCAAACATGATTCCTTGTTAAAGATTTCAGTTTGGTGTTTTAACATCTTAACACCTGTTTTGTTGCCAGAAAAAAGGGGAAAACCTCTTCTCATACTCATTTGAAGTTGAGGCGACCTAGGGGAGGCCCAGGACTGGTTCAGATAATCGTCACTGGTGTTGGCCGTGAGTGGGAACCACACTCGGGTTCCTAGCTCCCTACACACCCACTCCGTACACACCCACTCTAAATTGAAAACTCATTTAGTTTTGTGTTTAGTTTGTTGTCCTCCCGCACCTCAGATAAGCATGGTTGGCTACGTACGGTTCAGAATGAAGTTCACCATACATATACGTACATCCACTCAGCCACTCGCTCCATACTTACTAGTCAGTACGGTACATAACTTTGTCCAGATCAGAATCAGAATCAGAAAGGGTTTTATTCGCCATGTAAGTTCACACCGACACGGAATTTACTTTGGCAGGATGGTGCATACATTCAACATATAGGAATCTAAAATCTTAAATAAGTTTTAAACAAGTCTTACTATAATAAGGGTTAAAAGTCTAACACCAAGGGGCTGAAGTATATAAAATTAAATAAATATCGAATATAAAATAGCTTTAAGATATAATTTCAAAATAAAAAATACAAATAGGGTAACATAGTTAATATCGGCAAGGTGTCGTTATGTAGATCAAATGTTAAAAACAGTGTTAGCCCTTGGCCTTGTTTAACAGGCCAGCAGCAGATGGGAAGAAACTGTTTTGATGGCGTGAGGTTTTGGTCCTGATGGACCGAAGCCTTCTGCCGGAGGGGAGTAGCTGAAACAGAGAGTGTCCAGGGTGGGAGAAATCGGCCATAATCTTCCTCGCTCGCCTCATGGACCTTGTCGTGTGCAGGTCCTCGAGGGTTGGTAGATTGCAGGCAATTACCTTCTCAGCAGTGTGGATGATACGCTGCAGTCTGCTCTTGTCCTTGGCAGTGGCAGCAGCGTACCAGACGGTTATGGAGGAGGTGAGGATGGATTCAATGATCGCTGTATAGAATTGCACCATCATTGTCTTTGGCAGGTTGAATTTCTTCAGCTGCCGTAGAAAGTACATCCTCTGTTGAGCTTTCTTGGTGAGGGAGCTGATGTTCAATTCCCACTTGAGGTCCCGGGAGAGAATAGTGCCCAGGAAGCGGAAGGACTCTACAATTTTGACTGGGGAGTCTAACAGGGTGATGGGGGTGAGTGGTGCTGTATTCTTCCTAAAGTCCACAACCATCTCAACTGTCTTTAGAGCATTTAGCTCTAAGTTGTTCTGGCTACACCAGGTCACCAGATTGTCAGCTTCCCACCTATAGTCAGACTCATCCCCACCAGAGATCAGCCCAATGAGGGTGGTGTCATCCGCAAACTTCAATAGTTTGACAGACAGATGATTGAAGGTGCAGCTGTTGGTATACAGGGAGAAGAGCAGAGGGGAAAGGACGCAGCCCTGATGAGTTCCGGTGCTGATGGACCTGGAGTCAGAGACTTGTGTTCCCAGCTTAACGCACTGCTTCCTGTCAGACAGGAAGTCTGTGATCCATTTACAGGTGGTGTATGGCACGTTCAGCTGGAAGAGCTTGTCCTGAAGGCAGAGCTGAAGTCCACAAACAGGATCCTGGCGTACGATGCTGGGGCATCCAGATGCTGTAGGGTGAAGTGGAGGGCCATGTTAACTGCATCGTCCACAGACCTGTTGGCTCTGTAGGCAAACTGAAGGGGGTCCAGGAGAGGGTCTGTGATGGCTTTGAGGTGTGCCAGGACCAGGCGCTCAAAAGACTTCATTACCACAGATGTAAGGGCGACCGGTCTGTAATCATTTAGTCCTGTTGGCCTTAGCTTTTTGGGCACAGGGATGATGGTGGAGGACTCGAGACAGGCTGGTACATGGCATGTCTCCAGGGAGGTGTTAAAGATGTTGGTGAACACCGGAGACAGCTGGTCAGCGCAGTGCCTGAGGGTGGCTGGAGAGACAGAGTCCGGCCCGGCTGCTTTGCGTGGATTCTGCCTCTTGAAAAGTCTATTAACTTCTCCCTCCTGAAAGGAGATAGTCGTCTCTGTAGTATTGGTGGGGGATGGGGCCACTTGGGTCGGAAGGGGTGGTTCAGGACAGTCCAATTGTCTTTCAAATCTACAGTAGAACTCGTTCAGGTCGTTGGCTAGGCGGGAGTCGTTAGTGGTGTGGGGGGCTCTGGGTTTGTAGTTGGTGATCTGCCTGAGCCCTCTCCAGACAGAAGCAGCGTCGTTTGTAGAGAACTGGTGTTTTAGTCTCTCTGAGTACAGTCGTTTAGCCTCTCTCACCGCTTTGCTAAACCTGTTCTTCGACTCCTTGAATCTGTCTCTATCTCCACTCCTAAACGCTTCCTCCTTCTCCAACCTCAACCTTCTGAGCTTTGCTGAGAACCAGGGCTTATTGTTGTTAAAGTTCACCCTGGTACGTGTTGGGATACAGCAGTCCTCACAGAAGCTGATGTAGGACGTCACAGCCTCTGTGAGTTCATCCAGACTATTGGTAGCAGTCGTGAACATATCCCAGTCAGTACAGTCTAAGCACGCCCGCAAATCTTCCACAGCCTCACTGGTCCACTGTTTAGATGTCCTCACAGCAGGTTTACAGAGTTTTAGTTTCTGCCTGTATGCAGGAATCAGGTGGACCATGGCATGGTCAGAGTGTCCTAGTGCTGCTCGGGGGACGGCGTGGTAGGCTCTACTGACTGTAGTGTAGCAGTGATCCAGAGTGTTCCCTTCTCTGGTTGGGCATTTAATGAATTGTATGTATTTGGGGAGTTCGTGGCTGAGATTACCTTTATTAAAGTCGCCAAGTACAATAACCAACGAATCTGGATTTGCTCGCTCCACACTCAGAATCTGATCGGCGAGCATGCGTTGGGCCTCTTTAACCTGAGGACAAGGCGGCAAATAAACTCCGACCAAAATGAGTGACGCGAACTCGCGAGGCGAGTAAAACGGTTTACAGGTTATAAAAATGCCACTCCTGCTGGATTTTGAAGCTGCCATTTGTTTTCAGGCACAGCAAGCTCGGCCTTAGGTAGTCTGGTGATCTGATTCGACGTTGCCGCAGCAGTTGCAGCTCCAATCAGAATTTGTGACGTCGATCTCGTGCTTATGTATTGATGCGTGTTCCATGCCGTGTCGATGTCTTGCGTTGATGTTATGTTTGTATTGACGCGTCGATGTTGTGCCGATGTGTGTAGCATCCCGTGGTGGGAGCATCGCACATGGACGACGCTGCCACCGCTCACCCAGATGTAGTCGTCCTGGGAGAGGTCAACAACAGCCCCGGTGGGAGCAATGCTCACCTCGCTCACCCACCTACTCACTCGCCCACTTGGTCGCTCACCCATATGATCTTTCACTTGCTCACTCATCTACCTGCTTACTCACTTGCTCACCTGGCGACTCACCCACTGAATTTTTCATTGATTCACTTACACATTCATTGACTTATCCACTCACCCCCCCCATCCTATCCCACACACTCACCCACTAACTTGATCACTCATCCACTCACTCACCCCCTCTCTATGCCTCTCACCTGCTAATTCACTCACCCAGAAATTGTCTCACCCACTCAGTCACCCTCTCCCGATCACACTCACCCACTCATCTCACTAATTAACTCACTCTGCCCCTCTTGAATCCCTCTCATTCACCCACTCACCTTCTCACTCATGCACTCACCCACTCAATGACTGCTTCCCTATCTCACTCACTTTCCTGGCCACTCACTGGCTGCACATGATTCTGATGTTTGCTTCTGCCCTCCCCCTCTCTCCCCCTCCACCCCCCTAGCCTCGTGGAATCGCCGGAGCCCAGTCCTCGTTGTCTCTGACGATTCGGCCGACGGCGACAACTATGACATCAACGCCATCCTTCACGCGGTGACGACGACGACGACATTGATGATGATGTGACGGTGGTGGTGATGTTGGTGGTGGTGATACTGGCACAGTGGGGAGCACAGGTCGTGCATCTCCCAGTCATCTCACTCAGTCAACCTATGGGACCTGGGTCTGTCACGTCACCTCCTGCCAGCGAGCCTTCGACACTTCACGTGGCCTCAAAGTGCACCTGGCCTGGCACAGCACCGTGGTGACGTCAACACCACTTGATGGCGGATGGTGGTGGTGATGCTGATGATATGTGGAGCAGCGCTTAGAACCCAGCAACCCAAGTTTGATTCCCGTTCGCAACAAACACCGGTGACGATCATCTGAACCCGTCCTGGGCTTCCCCTAGGTCGACTCAGCCTCAAATAATTACGTATTGCAGTGTGCAAACATCATCACTGGGGAGCCAAAGGCGGTCAGGTGTGGTGCTGGCCACCCACGCCCTCGCGTGCCGTGCTGGCTCGTAAACAGCACTTGTCTCAAAAAGTCTGTTAAGATTACACGGGGAGGGGGGATCTTTGTCTTTGATGTAGATGATCTTGGTCGTGACGACGATGATGTTGGTTGTGAAGACGATTATGTTGATGTTGTTTTTGACGACGACAATGACGATGTTAATGCTTGGCTGCTAACCCCCCGCGCAGGTGGAGGAGCTCCGGAGCGAGGACGACAATGATATTGCTGTCATGACGGCGCCAGCATCGGCGCCCGAGGAAGTGGTGGTGGAGGGTGCGGAGGGGGCACCGGTGGATCCGGGCGAGAGCGGCGACGTCGGCGCCATTGGCGTCGACCGCGACCGGCTTGCCACAGTCGTGGGCCAGGTGGTGAGTGCCAGCGGAGGGTGGGGGTTCAGTTTCCCCATGACCGTGTGATAACTGGAGCGTTACGACACCCAGAGGGTGCCAGTTCGATTCCATTTCCCGGCGTGGCAGTTGAAAAAAGAATGGGGGCTTTTTTCTTAACCCTTTCCCATTCCGATGACGTGCATGTGCGTGTACTTCATCGGGAACAGGTACCGGAACTAAAACTAAAATCAAGTAACTTTATCAGTACCGAGGCTCCCACAAGACCATGCAAGGAGGGCATGTGGCACAGTGTTGGCGCCAGCTATCGTAGAGTGGCGACAGTCATGTGATCCTTATGGCGGTACCCCGGGGTACCCAAATAACAACACAAAATGGCTGAGGCAATGAAATATTTTATTTCTGGGACACAATTTTATCCAAAGGTGTACTTAACTCCGCGACTGGAGTACCAATCAATCCGGAATCAGTGCTACTCCGCGATGTCGAAACGCAGCGAGGACGATTGCGCTCGTACGCACCGTAATGGTGCATCGTGTACAGCTCGTCGAGATGAGTCGATTGCCGCATCGCCGACCATCAACAGACTAAAAATGACTGCATCTCGGACATTATGCGAGAGCCGGGGTACTATGGTACCCCGGGGTACCGCCATAAGGTTCATGTCGCTACGGTTCTCTGAGGTGAATATAAAAACGTCTTTATGAAAACAACAGCGCTTCTAATGCTACTACGCCTCTAAATTAAAATTGACACTGAGCCACTTGCACGTTCCGAGATTCGGCAGTGAAAGGGACACCCACCCACCACCCTGCAACTTGCACATGTCTCAGAATGGGTGAGGGTTCGTTCACCCCACTGCCCCTCCGTCCTTGGCCATCTCCACAGCAGCAGCAGCAGTGTAAGTGAGTTCACCACAGTTGGTCTATGATAGGCAGCTCACCGTGCGTGGTGCTGGTTGCGCTGGTCATGGTGGGGAGCGGTAATGTAGCGGTTAATGCACTGTGCAACGAACCCAGTGGTCCGAGTTCAATTCCCGCTCACGGTCAACACTGGTGACAGTTATCTGAACCGGTCCTGGGACTTCCCTAGGTTGACTCTCTGCTGGTTGAATAGAGGCTGTGTAAGAGAGGCAGTTCATCTCATTGGGTCCTTTCTACTGATTAAATAGAGTGTTTAAGAGAGGCAGGTTCTCTGCTGGTTAAGGAAAGGACGCTGTTGCACACTATGCTGTGTTTGTTTTCACAGATGGCTCTGTTCCCCGATTGCCTAAGGTCCTACCTGGAGCAGCTCATTCCAGAGCGAGGCTGGTGGGACGCTAATGTGTAGGTACCGCACTGGGCTGGGCAGTATGAGTGTGTACCTGTGTGTGCTCACCTGTTTATGTGAGTGTGTGGCTGTGTGTGTGAGTGTTCGTGTATGTGGGGGAGCGGTAGTGTAGTGGTTAGCGCGCTGCGCAATGAACCTGGCGACCCGGGTTCGATTCCCGCTCACGAACAACACCAGTGACGATTATTTGAACCGGTCCTGGGCCTCCCCTAGGTCGACTCAGCCTGAAATGAGTACCTGGTGCGGTGTGTAAACATCGCCACTGGGGATACAAAGGCGGTCGGGCGTGGTGCTGGCCACCCACCGCCTCGTGTACCGTTCAGGCCTTCATAGGTGCTCGCTAACAGCCCTTGCCCCTACAGTCTGTTAAGGCTATACGGGGGATATGTGTATTTGTGTATGTTCGTGTATGTGTATATGGGGAGCGGTAGTGTAGTGGTTAGCGAGCTGCACTATGAACCCGGCGAGCCGAGTTCAATTCCCGCTCACGGCCAACACCAGTGACAATTATCTCAACCGGTCCTGGGCCTCCCCTACATCTCCTCAGCCTCCAATGAGTATCTTGTGCGCTGACAAAGGCGGTTGGGGGTGGTGCTGGCCACCCACCCTTTCGTGTTTCGTGTCGGCCTTCATAGGTGCTCTTTAATAGCACTTGCCCCAATAGCCTGTTAAGGCTACACGGGGGATCTTTGTCTTTGGAGCCGCTATTAGAGTATGGGGGAGTGGAGGAACACTGGGACAAGTGGGTGCCTCCCACAATGCCGTGCATGCAGCGTGAGAGTGATGGTGATGTCCTGTGGTTTGTGTGTAGTGGTGTGATGCTGTGATTGGTGTGTGGCGGTGTGGTTGGTGTGTAGTGGTGTGATGCTGTAGTTGGTGTGTAGTGGTGTGATGCTGTGGTTGGTGTGTGGTGGTGTGGTTGGTGTTTTTAGTGTGGTTGGCGTGTAGTGGTGTGATTCTAGTTGGTGTGTGGGGATGTGATTGGTGTGTAATGGTGTGTTTCTGTGGTTCGTGTGTGGGGATGTGATTGGTGTGTAGTGGTGTGATGCTATGGTTGGTGTGTGGCAGTGTGATTGGTGTGTGACGCTCTGACGCTGTGGTTGGTGTGTCATATTGTAACATGGTTGGTATGTGACGGTGTGATGTTGTGGTTGGTGTGTGACGCTGTGGTTGATGTGTGGCTGTGTGATGCTGTGGTTGGTGTGTGATGCTGTGGTTGGTGTGTGACGGTGCGTTTGGTGCGTGGTGGTGTGACGCCAGCGTGTGCAACTTCCTGCTGGAGGAACCGGGCTACCCGCGGGGCCTGGTGCAGGAGCTCGTGCTGCTGCCCGAGTCGTCCGTTTTCCTCAGCGAGGAGAAGGAGGTACGTATGTATGTATGTTGTATGTTGTATGTATGTTGTATATATGTTATATGTATGTTGAACTTCTTCTGCACCGTACGTAGCCAACCTGGCTAATCCGAGGTGCGGATGGAAGGACATGAAACTAAATACAAAACAAGAGCGTTCCAGACGTCTGCGGAAGCGTATCTGAAAAGCAGCTGCTGTGAGGATGATTGGAATTCGCGCTCTCCTCCCACGCTCCCCTCCCGGCTCACTCCTCGGCACACTGTGTGCGCACGCTGTGCCATGTGGGCGAGTGAGTGAGTGGGTGGGTGGTGAGTGGTGATGCAGTGGTTAGCGCACCGCGCCACAAACCTGCTAATTTCAGTTCCATTCCTGCTCGGGACCAATAACAGTGGCAAATATATGGATCCTGAGCCTCCTAGGTCGACTCAGCCTTAAATGAGTACCTGGTGAGATGTGAAAATATCACTACGAGGGAGACAAAGGTGGCCGGGCGTGGTGTTGCCGTGCAGCCCCTCATAGGTGCTCGCTATCAGTACCCAACAGCCTGTGGAGGATATTGGAGGATCTTTGTCTTTTGTACTTTTTGTGTGTACACAGGCTGTATGTGTACTGTGCATGTGTGTATACAGGCCGTATATTGTGTGTGTACTGTGTGTGTGTACACAGGCTATGTGCGTGTACTGTGTGTGTACATTGTGTGTACACAGGCTGTGTGCGTGTGCTGCGTATGTTTACTGTGTGTACTATATGTGTACTACGTGAGTGTACTGTATGCATATTGTGTGCATACTACTTGTGCGTACTACGTGTGCGTACTGTGTGCGCACAGTGCGTGTACTTTGTGTGTTCTGTGTGTGTGTACTACCTGTGTGTTTTGTGTGCGTGTACTGTGTGCGTACTATGTGTACACTACGTGTGTACTGTGTGCGTATTGTGTGCGCACTGTGCGCGTACTACGTGTGTGTCCTGTGTGCGTGCACTGTGTGTGTACGGTGCGCGTACTCTGTGCGCGTGTAGTGGGTTCACGGGACACGGAGATGGTGGAGTAGAGGCAGCACTGTTTATTCAAGCTTGGCAGGGTTACACTGGAAGGGGTAATGGCCCCTTCACCCGGATACACGCTGGGACACCCCCTAGGCTATCTAGCCTAATTCCTGTGTTCCCAGTTCCTCCGCTACAGGCGCTAGAGGAGGCTATCTGACCTGGCCCTGGTCATGGCATGGGTCACGGCACCCCACCAACCAGACCGACCCTTAAAAGGGCTCCGGCTCTGAGGCTCTGGGGCCGCACCAATGGCTTACCCTGCCGGCCCTCAAAATGGCAGCGGTGTCAGGGGAGTCCCAGGGTCTATCTAGCCGGCCTTCCTTCTTCACTGGTTCTTCATTCTTGGCCCCAACACACTGCCCCGAGCTCTCTGGCTCCCCGCCATTTATACCCATACACCACTGAGGGGCGGGGCTATAGCGGACGTGGTTGTAGCCACCATGATGTGACTGTGTTACCTTCCCGCAACACCCCTACACGTGTACTACATGTGTGTACCGTGCACGTGTACTGCAGTGTACCGTGTGCGTGGACTGTGCGTGTATACACAGGTTGTGTGTGTGTGTACTGCGCTTGTGCTGTGTGTGTACCATGCGCGTTTACCGTGTGCGTGCATACGCAGGCGGAGCTGGACTACTTTGACGCGGCGTCAATGGACAACATGCAGGATGCTGCCTACCAGCTGCAGGCCGTGGAGCTGCTGCGCCATGACTTCCCCGTGCTCATGGTGGTTGACCTGCGCACCACGCTGCGCCGCCTCAAGCACCGCTATGCGCTCACGCGCCTGGTGCGCCGCCCATCAAGCACCCAGCCTGGCACACATGCACTGCCCACGGGGCACGCACGCATGCACGCCATGCCCACATCGCTGCCACCGCTTTGTGCCAACGGCGGCTCTTGATGTGTTTTTTGTGTGTACACGCGTGCACACGTGTGTGTGTGCGCGCGCTATTTTAGCGGTTAGCGCGCTGCGCTACGAACCCAGTGACCCCAGTTCAACTCCTGTTCACGGCCACCAAGACCAGTGACGATTTTCTGAACCGGTCCTGGGGCTCCCCGAGGTCGACTCAGCCTCAAATAAGAACCTGGTTCTTTGTGTAAACATCGCCACTGGGGAGACAAAGGCGGTCGGGAGTGGTGCTGGCTACCCACCCCCTCGTGTGCCGTGCCGACCATAAGGCTACATGGGGGGGTATCTTTGTGTGTGCAGGTGTTGTCTAAGGCTGTGAAGAGCTGGCTGGACAATGGAGGGAAGTCTCAGTCCAGCAGAGGCAAACGAGAGGTCATTCCAGTGTCATATCACGAAGGTTCGTGTTGAGTGCGAGCATGAGAGTGAGTGGGAAAATTTTGTGTGAGAGTGTGGACTCCTGTGGATGGGTATCTGTGTGTGTGTGTGTCCGTGTCTTTGTATCTGTGTTGTGGGGAGCAGTAGTGCAGCGGTTAGCATGCTGTTCCACAAACCCGGCAATCCGAGTTCGATTCCCGCTCACAGCCAACAGCAGTGACGATCATCAAAATTGGTCCTGGGCCTTTCCTAGGTGCGGTGTGTAAATATGACCACTAGGGAGACAAAGGCGGCAGGGCGTGGTGTTGGCAGCCCACCCCCTTGTATATCGTGTCTTGCCAGGCACATTATCTTGCCAGGCACGCTGAGGAGAAGCTTACGAAGCCCCAATGTGGATTTGGGCAGTCCTGCACAGATGCCATATTTTCTGTCTGCTATAGCAGAGGTGAAGGGAATTCCAGCAGGACCTATATGTCTGCTTTAGTGAGTCGGAGCCATCCCCTGTTCACACATTTAACATTTTTCGACCACGTAGTTTGTGAAGCCTTCTATGACTCTACCGGAGGAATTTCCATCTTGTACAGATACAATGGGAGGCTGATCGATGCCCGGGTGCAGTCAAGCGTAAGCTCCCTATTGGTCAACCATGCTGATGATCTGGTGATTGCTGCTCACTCAGAGGAGGAGTTGGGGGCGCGGCTGCAGAACCTGCAGCGTGCCACTAAGAGGTGGGGCCTTAACATCAGCCCCAACAAAACTAAGCACCTGCCTGGGTATTTTGTGCCATCAAACACTCCACCCCCTCAACTCCCTATTGGTGATGGGGCAGTTGTGGAGAGAGTGGAGAGTTTTCAATACCACGGCAGTGTGTTCATCACAAGCTCTGGTTTGACAGCAGAGGTCTCGCTCCGAATCAGTCGAGTGGCATCTTTTCAATGGCTGCGTAACGCAGGGTTTGGTGGGTGGCACAGGTGCGTCAGAGTGCTCCACACAAAGCTTCGGGTCTTCTCAGCCACGGTCATGCCCCCCTTCGCTATGCTTAAGAAACGTGGACCCCCCTAATGGAACATCTTCGCCGGTTAGAAACATTTAGGCTGGCCTGCCTACGATCCATCCTGGGTTTAACCAGGCTGGATTGTGTGAGTTCACAGATCCTTGAAAGATCTAGACAAAGTCTCATCGGTGAGCTCCTCCGGCAGACAAAGCTGCGTTCGCTGGGTCATGTGGCCCGCATGGCCAACCACCACATGCTTAAACAGCTTTTGTTCAGCCGGATAGAGGAGGCTAAACAGGCGCGGCACGGGCTAGAGAAGAGATGGAGTGATGTGGTACAGGAGGACGTGAAGCTGTGTGGACTTGCCGATGACTGGTACCAGCGGTGTCAAGATCGGCCTCAGTGGAGGAGGCTCGTGAAGGACGCTACTGGGCAGTTGGAGGCAGTTGCCCTTCAACAACAACGGAGGTCGGATGAGCGATGCTCACAACAACGAGCGGAGCGCCGGGTCGCTAAAGCACAGCAAGTTGGCACAGTAGGGGGCACAGGTGGTGCATCAGCCAGTCATCTCAGTCATCTCAGTCAGTCGACCTGTGGCACCTGGGTCTGCCCCGTGACCTGCCAGCGGCCATTCGACACTTCACGTGGCCTCAAGGTGCACATGGCCTGGCACAAGCGTTGTGGTGATGTCACCGCCACTTAGTGGCGAATGGCGGTTGTTGTGTATCTGTGTGTGTATGTATCTTTGTGTATCTCTGTGTCTCCGTGCGTGTATGTGTGCGCCTGTGTGTGTGTATCTCTCTGTGTGTGTATGTATCTTTGTGTATCTCTGTGTGTCTCCGTGTGTGCTGACGTGTGTGCCTGTCTCTGTGTGACTCAGGCTCACTGCAGCTGAAGGTTAATCTGCGCATACTAGAGCGCCGTCGCCGCTCGGAGGGATCTGCAAGCCACGTGCAGGAGCCCCTGCACCCCGAGCTGCTTAAGGAGCTCCAGTTTTTTGAGGCTAAGATGCGCCAGCAGAACGAGGTGATGGTGCTGATGGTGCTAATGGTGGTGATGGTACTGATGGTGGTAATGGAATTGATGTTGGCTGTGCTGCTGATGGTGGCAGTGGTGCTGATAGTGATAGTGAAGGTGGTGCCGGTTATGGTGATTATGGGGACGTTGTTGATGGTGGTAATATGATAGTACTGTGCCGCTAGCACTCGTGGTGATTGATGGTGGCAGTGATGGTGGTGGTAGTGGTGATGTTGTTGATGGTGGCAGTGACGATGATTGTGGTGGCGCGCTAGTGATGGTCGTGATGCTGGAGATGTTGAAGCTGGTGGCGGTGATGCTGGTGATATTAGTGATTGTATGGTAGTTCTGTGCTGCTACCACACATCGTGATTGATAGTGGTGGTAGTCGTGATGTTGATGGTGGCAGTGACGATGATGGTGGTGGGGCGCTAGTGATGGTAGCGATGCTCGTCATTATGTAGCTGGTGGCAGTGATGGTGGTGATGATGGTGATGTTATGATAGTCTTGTGCTGCTGGAACTCGTGGCGATTGATGTTGACGATGGTATAATAGGCCTGTGCTGCTGGAACTTGTGGCGATTGATGGTCATGACAGTGAAGGTGGTGATATTGGCGATGTTATGACAGTCCCGTGCCACGAGCACTTGTGATTGATAGTACCAGTGACGATGATGGTGGTGATTGTGGCGCTGGTGATGGTGTAGTGATGCTTGTGATCGTGAAGCTGGTGCCGATTATGGTGGTGATGTTAGTGATGATAGTCCTGTGATCGCCATCAATCACCGCTCGTGGCGATTGATGGTGATGGCGGTGCTACCATCACCATTGCCGCCATTCGGCCTTACAACGTGCGCCTAGCGCGGCGGTGTGCGACACAGCGGACTCCGCCAGGGAGACTAAAGCTCAGTTAGGGGGGGCGTGGTCATGGCCATACCGCGCCGGCTCGTACGGTATTCCGCTGACTCCAAGGGGGCGCTCCTTCTCTGTGTGTGTGTTGGCAGCATGCAGACCTGCAGCTGGCGATGCGCGTCAACGAGCAGCAGTACGAGGAGGAGCAGCAGGCCATCGAGTGCGGCTGCTGCTTCGCGGCGGTGCCTTTTGAGGAGATGACCCAGTGCCTGGACGGACATCTCTTCTGCAAGGACTGCCTCGTCCGATACGCACAGGAGGCCGTCTACGGGCAGGCCGGGGTGAGAGCGCGGAGCCTGCGCAGACGCGGTGCCTCTGCGTGTCCGTTCGTGTCCGTTGCGTGTTCTCATGTGATCCCCGTGTGATCCAGTCTGTCCTTGTGAGTTCCCACATTTCCCTGTGTCTCCCCGTGTCTTACCATGTATCTCCCTGTGTCTAACTCACCATGTTTCCCTGTGCCCCCCCATGCCTCACCGTGTGTCCCTATATCTCCCTATGTCTCTCTCACCGTGTCTCCCTATATCTTGTCGTCCCTTTCCCGTGTCTCCCGGTGTCTCACTCATTTTGCTCCCCCGTGTCTCCCCGTGTCTCACTCCCCGTGTCTAACTGGCCATGTCTCCTTGTGTCCCCCCATGTCTCCCCATGTCTCCACACTTGTGTAGGCCCAGCTGCAGTGCATGGTGTCCGGCTGTGAGGAGGGCTTCCCGCAGAGCGAGCTGCAGAAGACGCTACCCCAGAAGATTCTGCTCAAGCTGAGCGAGCGCCAGGCTGAGCAGGACGTGAGCACCGCACTCCGTGATGAGCTGCTCCGGTGAGACCTCACCCGCCCACACGCTCGCTCACCCACCTGCCTGCTCATCCGCCCGCCCGCCAGCTCGCCCGCTCTCTTGCTGGCTCGCCCGCTCGCTCGCTCACCGGCTCGGACGCTGGATCGCCCGCTCGTTCCCCGGCTCGCCCGCTCGTTCCCCGGCTCGCCTGCTTCCTTACCGGCTCACCCTCTCGCTCACCGGCTCGCCTGCTCTATCACCGACTCGCTCGCTCACCAGCTCTCCTGCTCGCTCGCTTATCTCACCCTCTCTCAGTGGCTCACCCACTCACTCACTGGCTCACCCACTCTCTCACTCACTGGCTCACTCGTTGACTTGCCCACTCTCGCCCCCTGGCTCTCCCACCCGCCCGCTCACTTACTTCCTCACTCCCCCACCCACCCACTTTCTCGCCTGCTATCCGTGTGTGCTAGGTGTCCGTTCTGTGACTTTGCAGCGATGTTGGAACAGAACTCCATCGTGTTCGTGTGTCCCAACCCTCGCTGCAAGAAGGTGATGCACGCACACACACATGCTTACACACACACGCGTACAAGAACACATGCATACACACACGTGCACAGGCATACATGCATACACACGCATACACGCACGCATACATGCATACACATGCATACACGCACACATACACACGCACATGGGGTGGCGGTGGTGGTAGATATTGTGGTGGTATTGCCTGGTGGTGGTGGTAACCGTGGTGGTGATCGTGTAGGTGGTGGTCAGCGTGGTGGTCAGCGTGGTGGTGATAGTGGTGAGCATGATGATGGTGGTGGTGGTGGTGGCGGTGAGCAGTGCCATGGGGGGAGGGCAAATTTTGATTGGCCATTCCCCTCAAGGCGTTTGTAGCCACCACAGCAGCCAAAGGGGACTGTGGACAGGTGCGAGGGGCTGGTAACCCCTCCAGAAACTGCAAAAAGCCACTGCGGGTGGCTATGTGGAATGTTCGAATGCTCACTGCGGAGGAGAGGCTGCCACTCCTCTGTCCGGAGCTGGATCGGTACCGCCTGGATCTCTGTGGTATTCAGGAGGTCCGGTGGACCGGTCTCTGGCTCCTGCCACCATGAGGGGTGGACAGTCCTCTACTCGGGGCAGGAGACTACCAAACAGCAGGGAGTGGCTCTTCTTCTCAACAATAGAATGAAGGGGGCGTGGGAGCGTGGCGGTGAGGTGTGGGAAGCTCTTAAGTCCCAGGCTACTTTGGGCTCGCCTTCCCATCAACCAGAGGCGAGGAGTGGTGGATGTGGTAACTTATGCCCCCACCGAAGATTAACTTCACTGGAGGGATGCAGGCATGGCCGATGAATCAGATGCCTTCTATGACCTGTCACAGATGCTAGCTAAAGTGGCCGCTCGGGATAGAGTCATCTTGTTGGGTGACTTTAATGCCTGAGTTGGTCATGATGCTGGCACCTGGTCTGGAGTGATTAGAAGGCATGGGCCAGATCAGCTCAATAACAGCGGTAGGATTTTTGTGCAGCCCATGGGCTTGTAATTACCAATACGCTGTTCCGGCATTGGCGCATGCACACAACATCATGGATGCACGCCGGGTCAAAGCAAGAACATCTGCTAGACTACAGAGTGACGGAACAGCAGATGCGGGCCCATGTCCTTGACACCAGGACCTACCGTGGAGCTAATCTGCCCACTGACCATCGACTTGTCATCTGTAAGATGCGCCTGCCATTCTCCCACTTTAGTAGTGGGTGTACACCCAGGACCCCATTCAAACCCTTAGTGGCATGGTCTCAGCTAGCTGATGAAAGTTGCACGCGAGAATTTCATCATCGCTTGCGGCTGGGATTGGCATCGTCCCCCACTCCTCCTGATGTCGTGGGGAAATTGGGCGAGGTTTCGGACTGTGGTTCATGCAGCTGCAATGGTTGCGTTGGGTACACGATCCAGACCTCCCCAGAGACCCTGGCTATCTTTTCATCGGTTGCGTAACGCTGTGTGGAAGCTACCTGGTCTTTCGCTCAACACGAAACTTCAGGTCTTCTCGGCCACAGTCATGCCCTCTCCTCTCTACACTTGCAAAACATGGACCCCCCTAATGGAACATCTTCGGCGGTTAGAAACATTTAGGCTGGCCTGCCTACGATCTATCCTGGGTTTAACCAGGCTGGATTGTGTGAGGATCTCACAAATCCTTGAAAGATCTGGACAAAGTCCCATCGGTGAGCTCCTCCGGCAGGCAAGGCTGCGTTCGCTGGGTCATGTAGCCCGCATGCCCAGCCACCGCATGCCTAAATAGCTTTTGTTAGGCCGGATAGAGGGGGCGAGACAGGCGTGGCATGGACTAGAGAAGAGATGGAGTGATGTGGTACAGGAGGATGTGGAGCGGAGTGGACTTGCCGATGTGTGGTACAAGCGGTTTCAAGAGGCCCTTGAAGGACGCTACAGGGCAGTTGGAGGCAGTCATCCTCCAACAATAACGGAGGGCAGAGGAGCGATGCTGTCAACAACGAGCGGAGCACCATGCGGCTAAAACACAGCAAGTTGGCACAGTAAGGGGGCACAGGTGGTGCATCAGCCAGTCATCTCGGTCATCTCAGTCAATCGATCCCTGGCACCTGGGTCTGCCCCGTGACCTCCTGTCAGCGGGCGTTCGACACTTCACGTGGTCTCAACGTGCACCTAGCCTGGCACAAGCGCCGTGGTGACGTCACCGCCACTTAGTGGCGAATGGCGGTTGTTGGTGGTGGTGAGCGTGGTCGTGCGGTGATGGCTGTAGCGGTGATGGTGAGCGTGGAGGTGGTGGTGGATGTTGTGCTGTAATTGACTGTGGTGCTGTTGAAAGGCCCATTACTTAAAGCATCACCTATTCTTTCCTCATACTAAGACAGGTCTATTGGCGAACGAGTTCAGTTTTTTGCATGTGACACATGTGTGAGTGACACTCATGTGTGAATGTCACTTTTGGATGTATGTGACAGCATGCTGTGTGTGAGTGACACTGCTGTGTGTGTGTCACCGTTCCCTGTGTGTATGTGTCACTGCTCCCTGTGTGTGACACTGTTTCCTGTTTGTGCATCACTGTTCTCTCTGTGTGTCACTGTTCCCTGTGTGTGTCACTGTTCTCTGTTTGTGCGTCACTGTTCACTGTGTGCACGACACGGTTCCCTGTTTGTGTGCATCATTCTTCCCTGTTTGTGTGTGTGTGTGTCACTGTTCCCTGTTTGTGTGCGTCATTGTTGCCTGTTTGTGTGTGCGTCACTGTTTTCTCTATGTGCGTGCGTCATTGATCCCTGTGTGTGTACGTGACACTATTCCATGCGTGTGTGTCAGTCTTCTTGCAGGAAGTGTCGTGAGGACTGGAAGGATCATGCTGGGCTCACATGCGAGGAGGTGGAGTCTCAGTCTCAAGTCAAGTTCCGCATTAGCATGTAAGTGTGGGTGGTGAGTGTGCGTGGTGAGGGTGGTGTGCTGTAGTCTTACCAGTGTAGTGGTTGGAAATGTGGAGCGGTTGCCTGTGAAGCGGTCGACCGCTGCGGTTGCCCTCCCGCCTGCCCCGCAGGGAGGAGCGCATGTCGGCGGCGCGCATCAGGAAGTGTCCACGCTGCGGCACGGCGCTGCTCAAGTCTGAGGGCTGCAACAAGCTGAGCTGCCGCTGCGGGGGCACCATGTGCAATGTGTGTCGCACGCCCAACATCGGCTACGACCACTTCTGCCAGCATCCGCTCATCCCCGGGCAGCCCTGCCCACATTGCACCGCCTGCCTGCTCTGGGTAGACCCCGAGGTGTGTGTCACTTGTGTATTGGTGTGTCACTGTGTGTGTCACTGTGTGTGTCACTGTGTGTCACTGTGCTGAGGGGAAATGGGCGAGGTTTAGGACTGTGGCTGATGCAGCTGCAATGGCTGCGTGTATGGTACACGGTCCAAACCTTCCTCGAGACCCTGGCTGATGGAGGAAGTGTTCTGGCTGGCTGAGAAAAAGCGATGGGCCCACTCGCACCGTCTCATGCATCATACATCGAAGATGAGGACGCTTAACGCAGCCTTTCCTCGGAGGTTCGGAGAGCTGTGCGGCGCTGCCAGGATGGGTGGTGGTCACGGGTTGCTGAGGAGATGGAGTCTGCCTCATTGGCCCGCAATCACAATCATTCTTTAACTCCATCAAGGAAGTAACTTGCAGTGCCACACCTATCACTATCATGAGGGGAAAGGAAGGTGATTCGATTTCCAACCCCTAGGAACAGGTTTGCAGATTTGTTGAGCATTACTGTGTTGTCTTGGGGGAGGGGAAATCCCTCAGCCTCGAAAACATAAAGAAAAGTCCGGATGACCCTGCTGAGGTGTTGGTGCCTCAAATATTGGAAGAAGTAGTCACCCCCTGTGAGTGGCTGGCTGAAGTGCTATCTGTTGAGGAAGTACGGAAGGCGATCCAGAGTCTGAGACCAGGCAAAGCGCTAGGCAGAGATGATTTCCCAAGTGAAATGCTGAGGGAGGGTGGTTTTTGTGTGCAGACTGCCCTATATGACATCATAATAACAGCCTGGACCACTGGACGGATTCCGTAGGTTTGGAATGATGCCCTGGTGGTCCCCCTCTTTAAGAAGGGGGATCACAAATACTGTAACAACTACAGGGGCATCTTCCTCCTCAGTGTGCCGGGAAAGGTCCTGGCAAGGATTATTCAACATCGCCTTGCCAGGCACGCTGATGAGAGGCTTGCGGAGCCCCAATATGGTTTCAGGCCAGGGCAGTCCTGTATAGATGCCATATTTTCTGTCCATCTGCTACAGCAGAGGTGTCGGCAATTTCAACAGGATATACATCTCTTCTTTATTGACCAGGTCAAGGCCTATGATACCATCAATAGGCCTGGGCTCTGAGGAGTTCTTTATGCTTTCCGAGTCCCAGGCTCTCTGCTCACAATCATTAAGGACCTTCATGTTGGTGGGCAGGCCCTGGTAAAACTATGTTGCTGGGAGTCGGAGCCATTCCCTGTTCACCTTGGGGTGCGACAGGGGATGTCCTCTGGCTCCCACATTATTTAACATTTTTCGACCACGTAGTTTGTGAAGCCTTCTATGGCTGTACCAGAGGAATCTCTATCTGGTACAGATACAATGGGAGGCTGATCGATGCCTGGGTGCAGTCAAGCGTAAGGTCCCTATTGGTCAACCATGCTGATGATCTGGTGATTGCTGCTCACTCAGAGGAGGAGTTGGAGGCGCAATTGCAGAACCTGGAGCATGCCACTAACAGGTGGGGCCTTACCATCAGCCCCACCAAAACTAAGCACCTGCCTGGGTATTTTGTGCCATCAAACACTCCACCCCCTCAACTGCCCTTTTGTGATGGGGCAGTTGTGGAGAGAGTGGAGAGTTTTCCATACCTGGGCAGTGTGTTCATGACAAGCTCTGGTTTGAAAGCAGAGGTCTCACTCCGAATCAGTCGAGCAGCATTATATTTTCATCAGCTGCATAAAGCTGTTTGGAAGCTACCTGGCCTGTCGCTCCACAGGAAGCTTCAGGTCTTCTTGGCCATAATCATGCCCCCCTTCTCTATCCTTGCGAAACGTGGACCCCCCAATGGAACATCTTCGCAGGTTAGAAACATTTAGGCTGGCCTGCCTACAATCCATCTTGGGTTTAACCAGGCTGGATTGTGTGAGGAGCTCACAAATCCTTGAAAGTTCTGGACAATGTCCCATTGGTGAACTCCTCCGCGCTGATAACAATGAGCACTCAGTATGCATGCGAGAGAACACGATGGGACAGAAGATGGCGGCGCATGCGTGAGTTGTACAGTACTTCTACACCCTCCCCCCCCCCAGAGCCGCGTTCAGCTGAGCCGTGTGCAAAACAATAATCGTCACTGGTGTTGGTCGTAAGCGGGAATCGAAGTTGGATCGCCGGGCTCATAGCGCAGTGCGCTAAACGCTACGCACCCACACAAAATGTTTTATACTCGGTTCAGTTGAGTAGAAAAACGTTGTATATGTAGGGACATTTTACGTTGGGTTCCTCAAAAAGTCAGTGACATGAGTGCAAAACAACGTTTATTGGGGACCCCCTGTACCTAGTGCGGTGTGTAAAAACATTGCCACTAGAGAGACAAAGGCGACCAGACGTGGTGCTGGCTGTTCCGGCCTTCATAGGTGTTCACTCACAGAACTTGACCCAACAGTCTGTTTAGGCTATATGGGAGATCTTTATCTTTGTCAGCCATGGCACTTAGGTCTGCCCCATGACCTGTCAGTAAACGTTCAACACTTCACGTAGCTTTAAAGTGCAGCTGGCCTGGCACAAGCGCCATGGTGATGTTACTGCCACTTGGTGACAAATGGCGGTTATATGTCACTGTGTAGGTGTGTCATTGGGGCACGGTAGTGCTGTGCTACGAACCCAACGATCCGAGTTTGATTCTCAATCACGGCCAACACCAGTGACAATTATCTGAACCGGTTCTAGACCTCCCCTAGGTTGACTCAATCTCAAAGGAGGAGTACCTGGTGTGCTGTGTAAACATCACCACTAGCTACTCGCTAACACCACTCACTCCAACAGCCTGTTAAAGGCTGCACAGGAGATCTTTGTCACTGTGTGATGGTGTCACTGCTGTTCCACGCCCTTCACGTGTATGAGAGTCTTGTGTGTGTGTCAATCACTGTGTGAGTGTGACACACATTGTGAGTGTGGGTGTGTCACAGTGGTTGTGTGTATGTCTCTTGTGTGTGTAACCACGTGCCACTAACCCCTTCCTCCCCTGTGTGCCACCACAGAAGGAGGACGATCAGCTGATTGAGCGCATCCAGACAGAGGCGCACGTGGTGTCCGGCGAGGTTGGAAAGCGGATTGGGCCACCCCTTGATCCTGATGAGCCCAAACAGCGGCGAGTCGACAATGTGAGGGCAACAACAACAATCACCGTACATTCACTGTGCAATATACACACACACCGGTGCGGTGTGTGTTAACCGTACAGTGACTGCGGTTTACACACACACACTGTTGCGGTATGTGTGTGTTAACCATACAGTCGGCCATAGTGTAGCCACCGACGTTGCTGGTCCACATTAATCTAAACAATGTTTTAATGAAAGCGGCAAATTACTCCTTCGGGATCATACAAAACAGCAGCAGCAGCGACAATCGTCAGCCCCCTGTTGTAATCTAAACAGGGGAGCCTCATTCATATCCTAACCACAGCCCTAACCCCATAACTTTCTCTCCCTGTCCTCTCCATATGCATCTTTCTACAACCCATGTGTGCTCAACTACAGCAGCCACGCCACCGGCATCACCACCACCACCACTTCGGTCATCATCATCAGCACCATCCACAGCCGCAGCAGCAGCACCGACACCACTTCGGTCATCAGCACCATCCACAGCAGCAGCAGCACCAACACCACTTTGAACATTATCAGCACCATCCACAGCCACAGCAGCAGCAGCAGCACCATCTCCCCCTGCCACGCCAGCTGCCCTGGATGGCGCAGCCCTGGATGGCTGAGCGAGTTGCCGATCAGCATGCGGAGCGCATGCAGTACCTGCAGCACCTGCAACAGCAGCAACAACAACAGCAGCAGCAGCAACAACAACAACAGCAGCAGCAGCAGCAGCTGTTCCTGCAACAGCAGCAGCTGTTGCTGCAGCAGCATCTGCAGCAGCATCTGCAGCAGCATCAGCAGCTTCAACAGCAGCTGGCCATGAGGGATGTGGGTGAGCACGGTCTCATCCCGAGGCCTCCGCCAAACTACAGAGAACACCGCTGATCAATCAACGGTGATCGTCAATTGTGAACAACGTTGATCAATCAGCGGTGATCGTCAATTGTGAACAACGTTGGTCAAATCTGTGTCGATCGCTGACCGATCATAACGACCTGTAACATCACTTTCATTGTTTGTCCTTGTTACTGCATAACGACCATGGATGGGAACAAATAACCATCACCGCCACGTCATCGTCATGATCACCGACATCATTACCGAGTACCGTATTTTCCCACATATAGCCCGCAGACGCATATAACCCGCAGACGCATATACCCCGCAAAAATAGCGTTTTGTGTAAAACAAATTTCCGATAGCCCACACCTCCATATACCCCGCAGGGTCTTGTTTTGTTTGTAAATAGTGGTATACCCCGTGGGTTATATGCGGGAAAATACGGTAATTGCCAGCATCATCATTGTCTCTGTGATTGTTTTTGAGTAATGATTAATGAGAACCAGTTCTGTAATCGGCTTCATTATTTAGTAAATCTATTGTTCCTCGTTAAGCCATCATTATGGAAGTGTCGCCATCGTCATCACCATTGATCTTCCATCAGTGGTGACTCCAAGTGGCCTGTAACCCAGCGCTTTGGAGGCAGCAGCGCGGGCTGGTGGATCACACGACAGATGCTGGTGTGAAACTCCCTTCCCGTGGGCGTCAAGGAGGTGCCATACCCCTGGCTGTGCCGGGAGAAGGCAGTACAGCAAATGTGGACTGCCATCTGTGCCATCTGTACGGGGATAGAGCATTTCCCCCTCGCAAGCGTGGGTTTCTTTGGGTGGTCTGGTCGCCTCGTACGTGTATATTAATTGCCCGATGGCATGTTAATATATATGGAGGACCGCAGAGCCTGGGTGATTGTTTGCGCCGGCTCATCCACCTGGCTGCTTGCGCTGCTGCTGCCTTCCCACTTGTCGGAGGTTCCTGCTCGCATGCCGGAGAGTCGGTCCCTCTCTGTTAGAGGGACCGACCACACCAGCACGATCATCTTTGCCACTATCGTCGTCATCATCTCGATCGTTGTTATCATCTCCATCACTGTTAGTGTCATCGCGACCACCATCGTCATCATCACCGTCACCTTCGTCACCTTCGTCATGGCTATCATTATCGTCACCATCGTCATCATCATCATGGCCATTATCATTGCCATACAAAGCTGCCTTTACTAATGGGTGTGTATGCTGCAGCTCCTGTTGCTGTGTATTGCCAGCATCATCATTGTCTCTGTGATTGTTTTTGAGTAATGATTAATGAGAACCAGTTCTGTAATCGGCTTCATTATTTAGTAAATCTATTGTTCCTCGTTAAGCCATCATTATGGAAGTGTCGCCATCGTCATCACCATTGATCTTCCATCAGTGGTGACTATCCAAGTGGCCTGTAACCCAGCGCTTTGGAGGCAGCAGCGCGGGCTGGTGGATCACACGGCAGATGCTGGTGTGAAACTCCCTTCCCGTGGGCGTCAAGGAGGTGCCATACCCCTGGCTCTGCCGGGAGAAGGCAGTACAGCAAATGTGGACTGCCATCTGTGCCATCTGTACGGGGATAGAGCATTTGCCCCTCGCAAGCGTGGGTTTCTTTGGGTGGTCTGGTCGCCTCGTACGTGTCTATTAATTGCCCGATGGCATGTTAATATATATGGAGGACCGCAGAGCCTGGGTGATTGTTTGTGCCGGCTCATCCACCTGGCTGCTTGCGCTGCTGCTGCCTTCCCACTTGTCGGTGGTTCCTGCTAGCATGCCGGAGAGTCGGTCCCTCTCTGTTAGAGGGACCGACCACACCAGCACGATCATCTTTGCCACTATCGTCGTCATCATCTCGATCGTTGTTATCATCTCCATCACTGTTAGTGTCATCGCGACCACCATCGTCATCATCACCGTCACCTTCGTCATGGCTATCATTATCGTCACCATCGTCATCATCATCATGGCCATTATCATTGCCATACAAAGCTGCCTTTACTAATGGGTGTGTATGCTGCAGCTCCTGTTGCTGTGTATTTGAGTAAAGTGAATGTGGGAGGACTGATGCCATATATACACACACACCACACTCCCCACGCAACCACACTGACCAACAACCACACGATCACACGAATGACGCTAACCACCAACAACACATTCATACTACGCGATATACACCAACCACACATCGATACTAACCATGTATGTGTACGTTGAACTTCTTTCGCACCGTACGTAGCCAACCGTGCTTATTGGAGGTATGGGGAAAGACAAACTAAACACAAAAACCATACCCATGCTATCCACACCACGATATCACACTAACCAAACTATCCATACCACGCTATACACACCACGCTGCACCAGTTCACCCACACCACTCGCACTACCCGTACCACCACTTGCATACCTCTACAATTCACACCACTCACCATACACCACACTCACCACTCCAACATAATTACTATGCAATTCACATCACACAACAGCACACCGTTCACCCCGTAACACGCCACAATAACCACACACCACGCACACTAAGAACACACATTTGTCAACTACTCGGCTACAATTCCACGTTCAATTCCAGGCCATAACTCCCATAGCACCCCCTCTTTCCCCCACCCCCTGTGCCTCCCCTAGGTCTACTCGGCCTAAAATTATCGACGCGTTTTGTGGAGGTGGTGTTAGGGTGTAGGGTGCTGAACAGCCCTGCGGGTGAGACAAAGACGGCCGGGCGCATGGTACCGGTCACACCACCACCCCTCCCCTTCCACATGCACCAGCGCTGCCGGCCTTACTAGGTGCTCGCAAACAGCCCCTGCCACGGCCTTCCCTGAGCAGGGGTGCGAGGTGTGGATGCTTCGGGGAAGTCTGCGTGTTTGTGTTGTGTATTTTTATATCTTGCACTTGGGAGACTTGTTCTTGCTGTTGTTAAGAGAGACTGAAGACTGGAGGGGCCTCGCTATGTGGTTGTCGAGGGAGACCCTGAGGTCTGGAAGGATCCACTTGTTCCTTGTTATCGTTCTTGATGTAAATTCCAAATAAAATTTTTGCATTGTTGGCATAAGGCGGGCATGCAGAGTGGGACTGGGCTCGCTACGGGAACCCACTGTGGTAAAGTGCGGTCGTGGGAATGGCCTTCATCCAGCAGGATGTGAATTAAACTATTGATGACTGTACTGTATATTAAGCATGAGCAGACCCCCCACCGTGTTCACATTGCGAAGGGAAGTTCTCACCCCCAAGGCAGTGTTCTTCACGCATGTTCAGAGCGGGCCCACTTTCGATGATGATTGGTGGGGGATGTTTTCACTTTTTGTGTATTGTCGGGGAGACCGCATTTCAGGGTGCCGCCAGTGGCCCCCTCGAGGCCTTGCAATGAAGAAAAATGACTTAGGGTGTCGTCGGCAAGAGTAGTTAATCATAATCCTTTTTTTTGGGGGGGGGGGGGAGAGGCTTAGGCCACAGTGATTTTGGCCAAACTTGTGTCGTGAGGCCCTTCACACTGGGCTCCCGAACAACAGCCAAACAAACTGTTGCGTGGCATGCATTTTAACGTTTATTACGTTTCTGCTCAACTCGCAGTGTGGGTTGGAGAAAGACTCTTGACAGTCGAATTGAGCAGCGATCAGATCACGCGACTTCTCACTTGAGCGTGCGTCAAAGCATCTTGACAAGATCCAGGGATTAAGATTAAGGGTGCCGTGGTGGCAAGATGTTGACTACCTCGCCTGATATACATGAGGTCATGGTTTTGATTCCGACCCTGACACCTGCTGTATATTTGGGAGTTTGCGTGTCTCTCTCCCCGTGGTTGTGTTCATTTTAACGTTTATTCCGGATCCTCTGGTTTTTCCCTCCACATTTAGAAACATGCGTTTAGAGTATTTGGCTATTGCTTTAAATTTCCACGTGATAAGCCACTTCGTTGAGCTGTCATTGGAAGACTTTCCATTTGTTGACGTGGAAAGGCAGAATTGTGAAGGAGAGACATCGTGTCCACTTTGTTGTCTTCACCACGACGTGAGTTACTGTTGTCTATTGTAGTGTACCACGTGTTGTGCTGTTGTAGTGCAGCACGTGTTGTACTGTTGTAGTGCAGCACTTTGTACTGCTGTAGTGCAGCACGTGTTGTAGTGCAGCACGGGTTGTCTATTGTAGTGTACCACGTGTTGCCGTGCACCACGGGTTGTCTATTGTAGTGTACCACGGGTTGTACTGTTATAGTGCAGCATGGGCTGTAGGGCAGCATGGTTTGCACTGTTGTCGTGCAGCACGGGTTCTAGTGTAGCACGGGTTATTTTTATTATTTTTAATTTACCAGGTAAGACTCGCTGAGCTACGTAGCTCTTTTTCAGAAGCGACCTGGCTATCACGAATGATAGCTCAACAAAGTGGCTTATCACGTGGACATTTATAGCAATAGCCAAATACTCTAAACGCACGTTTCTAAATGTGGAGGGGAAACCAGAGGATCCGAAGAAAAATCCACAACCACGGGGAGAGAGACACGCAAACTCCCAAATATACAGCAGGCGTCAGGGTCGGGATTGAAGCCATGACATCTTAAATATCAGGCGAGGTAGTTAACATCTAGCCACCATGGTTGCAGTGCAGCACGGGTTGTAGTATAATTGTGCAGCACGGGTTGTAGTGCAGCACGGGTTGTAGTATAATAGTGCAGCACGGGTTGTAGTGCACCACGGGTTGCAGTATAATAGTGCAGCACGGGTTGTAGTTTAATAGTGCAGCACGGGTTGTAGTATAATAGTGCAGCACGGGTTGTAGTGCAGCACGGGTTGCAGTATAATAGTGCAGCACGGGTTGTAGTTTAATAGTGCAGCACGGGTTGTAGTGCAGCACGGGTTGTAGTTTAATAGTGCAGCACGGGTTGTAGTTTAATAGTGCAGCACGGGTTGTAGTATAATAGTGCAGCACGGGTTGTAGTATAATAGTGCAGCACGGGTTGTAGTATAATAGTGCAGCACGGGTTGTGCAGCACGGGTTGTAGAATAATAGTGCAGCACGGGTTGCAGTCCAGCACGGGTTGTAGCATAATAGTGCAGCACGGGTAGCAGTATAATAGTGCAGCACGGGTTGTAGTATAATAGTACAGCACGGGTAGCAGTATAATAGTGCAGCACGGGTTGTAGTGCAGCACAGGTTGTAGTATAATAGTGCAGAATGGGTTGCAGTATAATAGTGCAGCACGGGTTGTAGTGCTGCATGGGCTCTACTATTTCGATTTGAAGCTTTCGTGACTGCAAGGATTCATCTTTGGTTCTTTCGGTAAAGTCACGTGACTTTACCGAAATAACCAAAGAAGAGCTCTACTATTATAATGTAGTGCGGGTTGTAGTGTCGTGGTGCAACATATAATGCGAGCAACATCTAATGCGACCGTACGCTGTTTCTGCAGTGGGATACGATGGCCCGTGCCCTGAATTCCTCACGAACATTTCCTCGATTTACGAACTCGCGATTTTCGCTCTTTACGAAAATTTAATTGCGCGCCATAAACAGAGACTCCTTGCGTCCCAGTCTGTATCACGTTTGTTCGTGTGCACGGGGTCGGGATCTATTGATTCACTTCAAGTCTCCTTCAATGTGAGCAGCAGGTGTAAATAAACATCGCCGGCTATTAGTTCCAGCAAAGGAAATCGTAAGCAAGCTCTGAGCGTGGGTAACGTAAGCTGGGACATCGTGAAGAGGCAGGAGAGAGGAATAACGTGATGGACGCTGTGTCCTCTCAGCTTAACTGCATCAAGTGATGAAACTTATCCCCCATCACAACTCTTGGTTCTTTCCTCAGGCCTCGTACGCCAGTAACTCCTGAAAGCCCCGCCACCAAAACGCCAACCATCATCCATCCTTGTCTACGCCACAAACTCCCATCGCCTCGCCAAGAATCCTAGCCTGCACCAGTAGAAGGTCGCCAGTAACCTGACACTCCTCGTCATCCCCCCACTCATATCAACACGCTAAGCTGCCGATAATGACGTTAGTTTAATTAAATGGCGGCTTGCCATTCTTTTCCACCTCCATGTGGCCACTGCGCTGTCCGAGCTCTCGCCGAGCTTCAAATATCTTACATTGACATTCTAATCTCTCAATACAATGGCCACCCCCCACAGCCCCGTAGTACCTCTCCCACATTGGCATTAGCTGCTCGCCTATCTCTAAACCATTTGTAAACAGCTCTGTGATTTTTTTTCGACATAGAATTGTAATGTATAACGACTTATTGTTAGTAGCTCAGCTGATTGGAGAGTATATTGAGTTTATTGATAACATTGATGTAGTTTATATTTTAGTTTTTTTATCAGTTTACTATATGGTATTCATTATATATTGTAGTGTATACCCAGTTACTTTATGTTAATAGCTCAACTTATTGAAGAATATATTGAGTACATTTATTATATTGATGTAGTTTATACTTAGTTTTTTCACATCGGTTTATTGTATGATAGTTGGGTAGTTGCAGTCCTTTAGCATCAATATAATAAATGCCTCTGTTGATATGTAAACTTTGACTTAACATAGCTATTTCCGTGACCAGTCACATGCTAATCCCTCACATTAACATCATGCTAATCTCCCTGTTACATGCTAATTTCTGACTTTAACACCCTGCTAATCCAACACTTTAACACAGCTATTTCACTGCTAAAGTCTTCTGTTGATATGTAAACTCCTTTGTCAAGGTGCTCTGCTCCTCCCACTCAGCTTAAAAGACGCTGTCAATCTTAGCAGTATTCATTGAAGCGCTGTCGTCCCAACAGTTTTGTTCCTTCACCTGAAGAAGGCTACTTGTGTTGTGGCCGAAGCGTCGTGAGAATTTTATTTTGTTTTATTTTTATTATTTTTTTTCCATTCTACGTGACTTTTCCGAAAGAACCAAGAAGATGAAGCGCTGTGATTGGTGTAGACCGACTGCAGGTTCTCCTACATTAACATAAGCTGCCCCGCCCATCTAAACCATTTGTAAACAGCTCTGTGATTGGTGTAGACCTACTGCAGGTTCTCCTACATTAACATCATCTGCCCCGCCCATCTTTACACCATTTGTAAACAGCTCCGTGATTGGTGTAGACCAACTGCCGATGTCGGAGACCTCTCCTACATTAACAGCTGCCCCGCCCATCTCTAAACCTTTATAAACAGCCTGCCTCGGAAGATTTCCCCCTCTTTTTTCACCTGAAGACGATTGCTTGTGTTGCGATCGAAACGTCATATTATTATTTTGATTCTTTTTTCTATCTACGTGGCTTCACCGAAAGACCCAAAGAATATTAATTATTACAGTCAAGTTTTGTTAATAACAATGTTTTCATGATTGTAAAGGGAGAATATAATTTACGTATTATCTTGCGCTATGAGAACGCATCCTTCATTTCACCTTAAAAATAACGGGATTTTCTTTATAAACGAATTTTCGAACGCATCCTCTTCGTGAACTGAGGAATGCTGTTCATGGACATCGATGGCTTGCAAACCTCTACACCATCCATGGGCCACTACCCTTCGTGCCCCCCACCTCCCAGCTGAGTCCCCTCAGCTGCAGGGCCACAACTCCTCGTGCCCCCCACCTCCCAGCTGGGTCCCCTCAGCTGCAGGGCCACAACCCCTCGTGCCCCCCACCTCCCAGCTGGGTCCCCTCAACTGCAGGGCCACAACCCCTCGTGCCCCCCACTTCCCAGCTGAGTCCCCTCAGCTGCAGGGCCACAACCCCTCGTGCCCCCCACCTCCCAGCTGAGTCCCCTCAGCTGCAGGGCCACAACCCCTCGTGCCCCCCACCTCCCAGCTGAGTCCCCTCAGCTGCAGGGCCACAACCCCTCGTGCCCCCCACCTCCCAGCTGGGTCCCCTCAACTGCAGGGCCACTACCCCTCGTGCCCCCCACCTCCCAGCTGAGTCCCCTCAGCTGCAGGGCCACAACCCCGCGTGTCCCCCCACCTCCCAGCTGGGTCCCCTCAACTGCAGGGCCACAACCCCTCGTGCCCCCCACCTCCCAGCTGGGTCCCCTCAGCTGCAGGGCCACAACCCCTCGTGCCCCCCACCTCCCA